TGCAGGCTTTTACAGAGATATAGGTGTGTAATAAATGTATATAGAGACTTATAAGTCACTAAGGTGCAAATCATTTTATACATATTTAAACAGAACTTTGTTTTAGTTACCGTAGAAGTGCAGTTTCAATGCAGAAGATAATTATATTTAATTGGAAAATAAAAGAAGAAACAAATTCATTAATTCAACATTTTCAAAAAACTGTAGGTATTTAATTTATTTTTAACATATTTGCTTTATATAAAAAAATTTTTTTTTAAACAGAGCGCATAGTATATTTAGGGTTTGGGCCTTAGTATATTTCTTTTACATGAATTTTAGTGATAATTTTAAATCCTAAATATAATATAAACTCTACTTACTGATCTTATCTTATACAGTTTCCTGGACCAAATTATTGACAAAAACCTTGGGTTGGTTGTTCTCTTGTACCAAATTATTTGGTTGGAATTCTTATTTGCAGCTCAGTGAATGAATTGGACCCAACTTTGAGAAAATACTTTGTATTTTATTCTCGAGTATCCCTTGTTTTATTTTTTATTGTGATTAATTAGGGTTTCAATTACCGGAGAATGGTCATTCATTTGCCTTTCTTATTGAGTCAAAATAGGGATAAAAATTTGTCAAATCTGTTCATTCTTCCACTATTCTGTAATTTAATAGCAAAGAAACTCTGCTTGACAATTTTGCAAAAGAAAGTAAAGAGAGACTGCTTGTAAAATTTCAAAATGTAAATTATGTTTTTAAAATTCTTAAATTTGTTTACTTTACTTAAGAAACTACTTATCAGCATTATTTAGTTTGCTGAGTCGACAAATATTATAAGAGTCCTGGTTTATCAGTAATAATGGCTTAATGCAAAGATTCTTTAAAATTATGCAAAAATAATTCTATTTGTTTGAGGGATAAGGCCTAAAGGGAATTGAACAAGACCAAAGAACTTAAGCCATTATTCAAACATGATTTGGCTGAAATATTTGTGTAACAAACAATCAGACTTGCCGTTATAAGCAATGGTAAGGGTATTAGCTACATAATTGTATATATTGCTTAATAAGCAAATATTTTATGGTTTTTAAAAATGATAGCCACATAATTTTTATTGAAATACCTGTCCGATGAACAAAGGACGGAATTTGAGTTCATTATGTCTACATTACATTTTGGTTATAGTTAGAACTATAAATTGACCCAGTTAAAAGGTCAGTGGTATGGAAAAGGGCACATCAATCCCATCCCATTATCTGTGGCTCTTTAAAACAATTCATCACACGTTGCTTTGTAAAGACTAGATATTTAAGGACACAATTGAAAAATTCTTTTATAATTCAGAAACTAATTTACATTGTTATGTCGACATGGTGATGAAACATACTTAAAATTCTGTGGTATTTAGAAACGTTTTAATTAGACGTCACTGTGATTACCCCTTCAAATGTATGCTAATAACAGGAAAAGACATTTGGATCGTCCGTTTACCAAGATTACCTGTGTAAGTACATGTAAAAGTTTTTTTTTACCGTGAGATTGTCATAAACTTGACATATTCATGATTGTTGTCATTTATCTAGGTCATGTCAACTCCTTCAAAGAAAGTAAAAAGTCTTATTGCATATATAAAGCTTCTAATAAGGGGGAAATGAAATTTTATATTTGCATGATATATTATTTATTTTGCTATTTATGGTGTATTTTTCTTTTTCAGTAATTTCTATTTTTATTTGATTTTAAGTCTTTTTTGTGGTCTTTTGCTAGATTTGCTTAGGAAATAACATCTATGGTAATCAAGGTGGCTGTTTCGAAATAAACTTTGTTTTTTTAGTAGTTAGCAACAAATGAAATCACAGTTTGCATCAATATTAAAAAGTTTACTTTCCAAACAATTACTTGTTATGAAGAAAAAATATAATCTATATGTTGTTTGATTGACAAAAATGATCTATATGATAAATATTCAAAGATACAATGTAACTTTAAAATGGTGTCGGCATACACATACTGCACAAGAGACATGTACCTTCATACAATTTTAAAATTACTAACAGTGTCACTTCTCCAATTGTAAAGAAGTAATTTTGTAAAGGAATTTTGTAACTTAAATCTTGTATACAATTTAGCCTAATTTATAAGTTCCAATGTACCTATCATGTTCTTGATACTCAATACAAGCACAGACATCACTCATGGTTAAAATACCTTAATCCTGTTTTTGTTGATAAGACAACTCTTTTAAATTCTTTGACTATATATGGAGTGAGTAATATTACATTTCCATGGAGGAATTTGTAAGATGTTAATTATTATTATATCTATTATAATTTTTTTTTAAAAGCAGAGGGGGTGGTAATAAAAAAAATTATACATCTACAAATGTATACATCTTTATTCATATCTACCTATTTCATCTAGTCTTTCTGAAATCTTAACAACAAATTGTAGAGACATTTTGGTATATATAGATAAGATCTCTTAGTGACCATTTGTAGCTCCTCTGAGCTTTTCCTCTTCTTTGTTTCAGTCTCTGTAAAAAGAATAGTTACAATGCTAGTAAAAATACAAACATGAATGGATAGACTAGTGAATCAGAAATGGATATTAATAGCAGTTTAAACTTTGTCTGACCTGATTATTGCACATGTGCACCCAGTGAGTTGATGCTGCACAATTTTGTTTGTTAAGGTGCAAAAGATATGTCAAGTATGTTGCCCTGTAACAACAATTATTTTCATTCACTGAATTCTTTTTGGGTGTGTCTGTCTACATTTCAACAAAATCATTGAAATATAATTAATATTTTGTTGCTTTTATTCATAATGGTATAATTATGACAAAAATATATGTTTAGCTTTATATTTCTACACTTAAACTTCAACTGGTTTCATTCTCTAGGTTCAGTTACATTTGTTTGACTAACTATAATATTAAAAGACAATCATCTCTACCTAATGAATAAAAAAATATCTTAAATTTAGTGTGGTATTCAACATCCAAACCCCCAGCCCCATGTGAAAATGTTCAAAAGTGAAATGCATGATGATTTGTGAGTTTTGAATTTGAATGAAGTTCAAGACATTATGTATCAAGGTACGAGGTGTAAGTGAAACTAAGCAACTGAAAATTCAGAACTTTTTATTTATTATTTGTGACCGGATACATATGCAAAAATGATAAAAACTAGCATTTAAATTTTGATAGCATTATGTGTATACAACACTTCCATAATTCACAATAATTAATCTTACATTTTTGTCCATTGTTTAGCAATGGCAATAATTAATGTATGCAAACATAGCTGAATTTACAATACATATTGACACCATGTTTGTGTTCTTACTGTGGCAATATAACGTCACGGTACCCAAATTGCACAGAGTACCTAAATTGCACCTTTTTAGCTAAAAATAGCAGGGGAAGTCTTACATATCCTTTGTTTTTCTATTACAAGTTTTTTTAGAGACTAAACAATATGTATTTTTATGATTTGTCATTATGCACGTCTTTCAACATAGCTAAATATATTGGAATATATACAAAACATTCACAGTATATATCAAAGATGGAGTATCCACTAGAAAAAGTAAAATCTACGGAAATGTCGGCATGCGACGTCCACAAAAAGTCAACTTTTGAAAATGAGCAATTGAAATATGTTACAGGCATCCATATCTTAAAAAGGAATAATAAGTATGGACTATTGTCAAATTGTTCTAAATATTTGGAGAGATAAAACAAAAAATCAGCTATTCGATTTTTAAGGATGTTATTTTAAGCATGGATGCAATTTGGGTACCCCTCACAACAGAATCATGGATCATTTGGAGGTCGGTTCAAACCCATTTTTCTATGATTCAGTATGAATTCAAAATAAAATTGGTGAAACTATATAGTAGATAAGGATACATCTACAAAATAAACAAAGTATGGAAACTTTTGTCTGGATCATAAATAAACGTAGGTGAAAAAACTGTCAAAATAAGTGCAATTTGGTTCCCCTCACATTATATATATTTTGGTTCTATTTTACACTGTCTCCAAAAACTGTATACAATTCATTCAAAGCTAAATAGGAAATCTTGATTATAATGTCATATGATGTAGAAGTCATATTTTGTATATAACCTAATGTTAGCTTATAAAATATCTGTGCAAATTAAGTTATTTCATATCAAAAACAGTCAAAGATGTCTCTTACTGCACATACTTTTTGAAATCTGTACTTTTCTCAAGTTCACTGATTATATTCTGTTTGCTTAAAACGGAAATCTGTGAATAGAATATATAGAGCTTAAAGTTAACCGTTGACCTTTAATGGATTTTTTTTGGTAAACCGCAAGAACCTGACAATTAGTGTTTTTTGTGGGAAGAGTTTGGAAGGATCCCTTTGAAGAGCAGGGAAGCGAGTTAAATCATACCTACAATCTCTCTCACGATTGTAAAGTAGATAACGCTGTCATGTGATTCAATTTTATAAACATGAATGAAAAAATATTATATTTTCAATTTTTATGAATGGAAATGAAACTTATTTACATAAATTTTCATTCATAAGTTTTAAAAGTTTATTGACATCGATTCAGTTAATGGCTGACTTATTTCCATTAAAAAAAAAAACAACCCAACTTTTCTATGAAATGTAAAAAAGCTTGTTTAGATAAGTCAGATATGTTATAATTATTCTATTTTAATTCAAACTTTTATTCAATATGCTTTTTTGGTTTAAAATCAGTTTTTTTTTAGAAAAAAATCAAGAAAATATTAGAATTAGTATTTGAGAAGAAAACTAGTTCTGTTTTTTGTTAATTTATTCAAAATAGACATAATATATTTACATATAACAAAAAAGAACATTTTTCCTGTCTTCAACTAAAAGTAGATTAATTTATTTTCAGGATAGTACATATATCACAAAAGTTTTTTATTATTTAAAATTGTATTCTATTAAAACATTTTTTTTTTTGTACATGTAAAGCTTGGAGGTATTTTCTTAGTTTTGCCAGCCATGAAATAAAATTTTAAACCTCGTCTGCTATTAAGCTGTTTTAAAATTTAAATATATTTTCTAACTCATTCATCTTCTCTTGTTGATAAAATTGAGTTGATGTTTTGTATAAAAGGAATGTAAAGTATTTGTGTCAGTGGTACATGACATATGGGAGAACAGGTAAATGTAGGAGTTTAGACGGGAATATCCAGGGAAAGTTACTTGGTTCTCAAAGCTTGCAAGGTACAGGTAATACTGCAGGTATTTAAATTATTTTTCTATCTTTCTAAATATATTACATTTTTAAAAAAAAATTGTTCCCAAGAATTTAAAAAAAAAGTTTGAAAATATCAAAATAAATAAAAATTGTACTTGCATTGTTTTAATGGTTTGATATTTTGTGAAATGAATGTTTTTTTTTTCTTTTTGCATGAATTGTAATATTAGGAGTTATTTCCCCCGAGGGGAAATTTATACTGTATGCATTTAGCTTTAGCTAAATTCTGTTTTGCATTATTTAGTTATTGAATTTCTAAGCTTAAAGTCAGCCATTCTTGACAAATATATATAGTTTTATAATTGATTTGAATATAAAATTTATGAATAGCACTTAGAATATCAATTGATTAAAAGATAGTGTTCCAATTCATTTTTTTTTATATATTTATGTAACACTAAATTAAGGAAAAATTGAATAAGCAAAACTTGAAAATGAACAAAGTGTGGTAAACCTGTATTTTAGAGTGGTTTTACTCTTAAATAATAATGCAGTTGAATGTTTTCATTTCTTATATTTAGAATTGAATTTTATAAAAAAATAAGTAAATATGAGATTGCAATAGGTATATGTATTCTGTAAAGGAACCAATTACTGTATATGTTTAGGCCTGAAACAGGTCTATATATATATATTTATGTGTGTGTGAGAAAAAAGAAAAGTGTGATTTGAGATGTGAAGATCAAAAGTAGGTGACAAGTGGGTGTAAACTGACCTGTTCCCAAGATGTTTATTCTGGGAGTATAAAACATCTAATGATTCATTACAAACATGACAAGTAAAAGGCAACATCTATCAACTCTATGTGAAGGGACATATTTCTCAGGTTTCTAGGTAAAGAAAAATATACACCTTGGGAATAAATGAATAATCTTTATGAAAGGCAAATATAAAATTCTGAAATTTTATTAATGGGTGGGTGGTATGGAAATTCTAAATTAGGATTTTTATATAAATACCTACCATTTATATGACTGATACAAGTCCCAGTTTTTGGATCTGTCTCCTTGACTGATTTAAGAAGAAAGAAAATAGTTTGAATCATAGATGTATAAACCCATATATCTATGTTTGAATATACCATGTGACAACAATCTTATTCAAAATCTGAAATCTTTAAACTTCTGAACATTTAAGCCCTAACTGAAAATAAGGAATTTTACAAGCTACATATTAGATTTGGTAAAGAGTTACTAGTCATTCTGCTCATGCATTCTCTTTTAATCTGGATGTATATTTGATGTTAACCATTCTGAAATCAAAAGTAATGCATTGCCACCATTGAATGGACATGACATGGAATATTGGGTTAAAACAAAAATAAGAAGATGTGGTATGATTGCCAATGAGACAACTCTCCATAAGAGATCAAACGACACAGAAATTAATACATTCATATTCCTATCATAGATATAAGAAGAGCATAGGTCTAGACCACTGCTGGTGGACTATTAGTCACCAAGGTTACCATACAAACAGTTGCTAATGCTTTGGTATTGGTATGGTTTAATTTTGTTAGACTATATATAATGTAATTGTAATAAAACTAAGAGTTGCATCTCCCAAGTTGACCTTTCTTGTTTTAGCTGTTCTGTTTTAAGTTAGATTGAGATTTGATGCTCACAGATATTTTATATATTTTGCTTCCAAAATTTTTGATCTTAAGAATACCTGATGGAAGATATTCATTTGGGATCCATGATTTTAAAAAATGTGCCAAGGGAGGTTGGGGCTCAGGTTCAATTACTGATGTTCCAGAAACATTGGGACTGAAAAAGGGTAAATAATTAACATTAAAAATGAGTCTTGGAAGCAGAAAACTCTTGGGTAAACTTTGATGCAAAAAAATGAAAGTTTAAGAATATTTGCTTTAGAAAAGGCAGAACATTCTTAGTCTATAATTTAATATGTTTGAACTTTTAACTTCTGTTCAAGATTTTTATACAACACAGGATATAGTTCATTATAGACAAATTACAATGTATATATAAGTAATATAGGTCAGACTTTATGTCACTTTTTTGCAGAGAAATTACCACAGAACAACCTGTTAAAATAGTTTTGGTTTCAGATGGAAATCTAATTTAACCAGATCAATGAAGCTGTACTTATACCCATAAACTTAATGTTCCTAACAATAATTATTATTTATTTGAGGCGTTTAGCTAAGAATGCAGATTACTGCTATGTTTTTTTTCATACATGAGTTTTTATTAAGGATAATTCTCCTGTTTGATGGGTTTTGTTCCCACATGTATTGAATGGCTTGTAGACAGCCTTACTTCCGGCTTCTGTGCAGTAATGAGGCATTACTCTAACATCTATTACTGATAAAAGATATTTTTTGTTCAATAACTAATGCAGATTTTTGTTTAAGAACAGATATATGTATTTCAGGTACAAACCACTGTGCAATGAATTTACAGACGGGCGTTGTCTAAAGATATCAAAAAGGTATTCATTAGTTATTGGGAAAAAAATCTTCAAAGATATTTTTTTCTATTGTCTTCAGAAAGTTTTCAGAGCCTGATATTGTTGTCTTTTGTTTTAAGTGGTATTCATGGATAGATCCTTTTCACAACGTTGAATATATTTCAAACACTTCTGAATCTATTAGCGATAGATTTTCTAAAACAATATTCACAATATTTCAAATCTTATGAATTGTATGCATTACTTCTGTTAATCTATGAATAATTCTTTTACTCAGTTACATGGTTTGTATTGTGCATTTTAATTCACTTCCATTTTTTGCCCTTCTGAGAAATATTATCTGAATGTTGCATGAAAATAATGTTAAATGACAGACAATACTATAGTTATTACAACTACACAATTTTAGTTAAGATTTGTCACTTTCGATTATACTGTTTTTAATCTATATTCATTGAAATATGGGTGACAAGTTTTTGATAAAAAAGTGATTTATACTGGAATTTTGCCATTTAGTTGGTCAATAAACCCAATATAATTAATGTGATACCCTCTGATGGTACTGATAGTTGGGTGATGGCCAGAATAGGTTTCTCTGAACTGATGTGTCCTGAATCAGGGTCAAAATATAACTGAAAAATGTGTTCAAGTTTGTATATTTGATAGTTGTACAAGTACTAATTTATACAGTTGCTAAAAGGTATACACAATGTTAAATCATCATTTAATCTTTTGCTGCTCAGCTGGCTATTTTCGTGTCATCTGTTTGAAAAACAGTATTGCATTGGAAGATTTGCAGGCATCAATTGGTGATCTGATGGTTGCAAATGGAGTTTACAACCATAAAATCAAAAATTGGTGCCCTCAAATCTTCAAATACATTATTGTTACCTCCATTCTAATGCAAGCCAAAGAAATTCCGCTTAATCATAAATTTAAAAATCAGTCACACCATGTTTGGACCTGAGCACACAATTAAAGCACAAAATTGTAAGGCAAAATCTGTTGCAGTCTTCATAGGGATGATTTATAGAATCTTTAAGCTGATTTAACAACATAGGGCATAGATAAGACACATCCCCTTGCATAGCCATATTCAAATCATTACAATAATTATATAGCCATCTTAGTGGTCTCATAATTAAAGATGAGGTCATGTGAATGATCCCATATCTGTGAAACCAGACTAATTTGGTATAAGCTCCTCCAAGCTTGCAGTATATGGATGTTTAAGCAAAACTGGTCAATTAGGCTTCGGAATATAAATATGTCTCAATAGGGTGATATGTCTTCCTTCTGACTGTTACCTTGCAAGCTAACACCAAAAAATCGTACTCAGTGTGTTGGTTAAGTAGGAAGCAGGATATATAGACCCCGTTTACACTTGTACAAAATTGAACCTACCTTTATTTGAATCGATCTTAAAAAAGACCAGTTCGCGTTTACATTTGCACAAGCAAGATCGATTTTACACTGCAACATAAAAAGAACTGGTCTGACCTGATTACTTTACATTTCGTAAACAAATAATTGTAAAAATAGAATAGTATGATAACGTGTGCATCTTGCACGGACAATCACACACTTCAAAATCATGGAAAACATATTTTGATCATTGGAATTTCGTATGCAGTTATTAATTATCTTTTTGGTTTGCACATCATTTATTCATTAAACAAAGAAATGTGAGAAGACTATCACTTAAAAATGAAAGGTCAATGCATTTGAAAATTAGGATTTGCAGCAAATAAATAGAATTTATCGATTCAGAAGAATGATCCAACAACGGAATCTATATTTACTGTTCTTATCCCATCCATCGTTTTTAAACATGTGTGTTTTTGCCGCCGAACATACACAGATTTATTTTCATATCTAAATATAACATTCACTTGAAGAAAGAATGATTGTGGATCGATCTAAGCGCTTACACTTGAAGAAAGATCGATTCAAATAAGATCGATCTTTTTAAAACCACCTCTGGAGGTGGACTTTTTAAGTCCGATTGAAGATCGATCTTTCCTGTTTACATTAGACTAAAGATCAGTCTTTTTAAGACCTATCTCAGGAAAGATCTTCCTGTTTTATAAGTGTAAACAGGGTCATATTCATATCACATTAGATGCTAGGCAGCCAGTCAAAATTATGCCTATGATTTTTACTCACAACATATTTGAAAAATCTTATAAGAAGTCATTTTAGGGTTGTTATTCATAAAGAATAAAACCTAAAACGAGGTTCTGCCATCCTTGAAGTTATTCTGTGAATTCAGACATTGCTGTGTGCATTCATTATTGGTATTGTTGCTAATGTCAGTAATTAATAAAATTGTGAGATCATTTAATATAATCAGGAAATGTTGCATACAAGTAATGTGATCAGAATTTAAAATGCAAGTTCTAAATAATGCTTAACTAATCATATTATGTATGTTACAAACAATTCTTTATTTACAGTAAAAGATGAAACAGTTTTTTTTACACCAGAGTACAAATGTACTTCATCATTATATGTCATAAATAATCTCTCATGCTATTGACCTCCATTGATATACAAAATGTATACATTCTCAGTTCAAAGGAAATCCAAATTGTTTACACAATGTGAAGAGAACCATTGTTTTTATTGAAGCAGATTGGTCATGTATCATTGTCAGATCTATTGTATGGGATTGCATATCATCCAAATCTATATTCAAAATTTGTGGGATCAAAAACCTTGTGAATATGTCAAAAATGAAATACATAAAGAAATTTCAATATGCATTACACTGCTGCAAATAGAATTATTTGGCAGGGAATTTCTGTATTTGTTGATAATAAGCCTCCTGAACTGATTTCTCGTAGACGAATATAAATTAAAGAGTTGCAGTATGATTGCCAGAGACAACCATCGAACATGGTCCAAATGACCTGAATTTAAGCAACTTTAGGTCACTGTCTGGCCTTCAACAATGAGAAACAGTAATTTTTCAGTGCAGATTTAAGTACATTTGAATTATTTTTTACCATAATAAAATTTTAAATGCATGTTCCCTTTTTTATGTAACAGTATATTTTAGATGTATAAAACTGCTTCAATTGTGTTTTATACTTTTTTAGAAATGGAGCACTATGTTACATTAAAAAACCATTGATTTTATATGTGATATTTCATTCATGATAAAGTGTGAATGAAATACTTGATGAATAATAATAGTTGTGTGGTGACTCAGCTGTTAATTTATTAATGACCAGTAATAATGATGATGCAGATTGGAGTAATTATTTTAAAATCTGTTTTACACGTTTTACTTGAAAGTGTCAAGTGAAGTGAATACTTATTGTTAATGAAATGTTCTGACATCTTTTTTAAATACAAGAAATATACTATTTCAATAGTGACAAATTAATAAATTGCTTCTGAGTGAATGTATTGGTTTCTGTGATTTTAAAAGAAAATAAACTAAAAAATTATATTTTTTAAACCAATGATAACTGAACACGTAATTTATACATTAATGAAATTGAAATCAATATGGAATCAACTGCTTGTCTTATTAGCTAACCTTTGATTCTGTACATACATTTTTTTTAGTTTCTAATTAACAAATTGCTACTTTATCTTGCTTAATACAAATTCAAATATGAAATAGGCAAATTTATTTCTTATTCAATTAGAAATTATGAAGACAATAAACTTTTTTTCAATTTTGACCTTTTTCCCTGACATATTTTAAAATATGATGCATGTTAGACTAAAAGACTACACACTATGGACATGTACTATATTCTTAGACTAAAAGACTACACACTATGGATAAGTAAGGAAGACAGTAAAAAGCATGGATGTTAATTATAGATCGTAATTTTAAAGCCATGTGAAATATAAGACATAATAATAATAAGTCTTATTTTTTTTTCATCCCAAATTGTCAGCACATTTTTCTAGCATTCCTTTGAAATTTGGTTTTGTCCATGTCAGTTAATTTGTCTAAATATAATACAAATTCCCATTACAAGGTAATGATAATTGTTGGGTGCAAGTACACTGGATGTATTAATCTGGATTAATTGAAAGGAAAATGTTTATACTGTAGCCTGGCACCAGTTTTTGCTGTATGTCCCCAAGGGAAATAGTTGTGAGGCGACTTAAAGGGCAATTATTTTATTTCCTGAATATGATATATATATTGTAATGCTCTACACATTATCTTCATTACTTAAAAGCATGATTCATAAATATGTATTATAACTGTCTGTTCCAGTAAAAAATAAATTTATTCATCATTGTGTTGTATGAATATAAAGTGATTTGTCTCCTATGGCAGATCTCATCATATAAACTGCTTTATAAAATTTTCTGTTTAATTTTCAGAGTTGCATCTTTTTCATAAGGACTGTATGAATTAATGTGTATAAAGATATCAGCGCTTTTGAAAAAGCAACAATTTTCTATTAAAAACATATAGTTCTTATGAAATAGCCATTTTATTGTTAATTGATTGGCAATTATTAAATAGCTAACTTTTCTATAGAATGCATGGTGATTGCGAAATAGAAAATTCTATACAAATCACTTTGTGTGTATGAAAAGGACATATTCAATACAAAAGATAAATATGCATTTGAAAAAGTCATATAAATTCTTGACAACTTACTTGCCATATATATATAAAATGATCTTGGCTAATTTATGCTGACAAATATTTGTACTTATAGGTTTAAATATTTCATTGATAAAAGTTTTAATGGAATATTTTAACACACTGGATAAAGGATTTTACTTTACAGAATTTGTTTCCCACCAAAGTTGGTTTTGTTAAATGAATGCATTAAACACATCTTGATGGAAAATTTAATAGTTACATGGGAAAAATACAATTAAGTATGTAGCAATAAAGAAAATTACCAATACTTTAGAAACATAATTTCACATGCTTACTATATAGTCAGGAACCTGATGTTCAGTGGTTGTCATTTGTTGATGTGGTTCATAAGTGTTTCTTGTTTCTCGTTTTCATATAGATTAGACCGTTGGTTTTCCTGTTTGAATGGTTTTACACTAGTCATTTTTGGGGCCCTTTATAGCTTGCTGTTCTGTGTGAGCCAAGGCTCTGTGTTGAAGGCCGTACTTTGACCTATAATGGTTTACTTTTACAAATTGTGACTCGGATGGAGAGTTGTCTCATTGGCACTCATACCACATCTTCTTATATCTATATAATAAAATGATAATACACATTGGCAATGGTTATGGAGTGTTAAAATATATGTTATGGTTTAAAGATTATTGCAAGTTTACCATATAGGTTATGGTCAAAACAGAATAACTAAAAAAAAAAAAAAATAGATCAAAAGAATTGCTAAGTACATTTCTAAATAAAGTACAGAACGATTGAAAAAAAAAATTAAAAAGAATTGCTAAGTACATTTCTAAATAAAGTACAGAATAATTGAAAAAAAAATAAGATTAAAAAGAATTGCTAAGTACATTTCTAAATAAAGTATACAGTGATTTTTTTCCCACTCAAAAGTTGTGTTAAATTTTATACCTGGTAACATTCAGAGACTAATTTCCTAATTGATTTTGGAACATGATGACTTGTGAAAAACAGTATTCATGATGACTTTGGAAGGACAGTATTCATTATGATTTATGAGAAAGTAAGAGATGCCTGGTCAGGTCATCCCAGGACTACAACACAAGGCCTTAGGGTTACAAATTATTCATGATGTATATTCATAAGGCCATTACAAATTAATTTTTAGCATTTTTGGATTCAGTCACATCAATTTGGGGTAGAAGAAAGTTGTGATATGAAATTATTTCATTGAATCCAGCAGTCTAACCACATTTTTCTGACTTATTATTTACATTTGAAGAAAAAAATAAGTTACTGCCTTTTTGACAATAAAATTGAAAATTAGATGTTTGAGTACTCAAAGAAACAAATTTCAGATAAACAAATCAATCTCACGTCACATTTGAACATTTTATTTCTTTCAATAATTATGGTTTTCAGGAAAAAAATAATGGAATTAAGCTTACACCTGTTCTTGTCATCCAAAAACTAAATAAAATAAAGTTTAATTTGGTATGGACTAAAGTACTTATTGAAGATACCAAATAACTTTTAAGACATGCACTGAATAAAAAACAATACCATGATTCCTTTCCTAAATTGAAAATCCTAATGATAATGAATCAGAACTAGATTTAACAAAGTTGGTATCTAAGAAAGTGAACCCCCCTTTAAGTACCCTTGCCACTGTATCTAACAAAATATTGGTCAAGTGTGTACATATCATTGTTAAGATATAGGTCATGAAAGCTATCAGTGATCATAGGACTTCAGAGAAACATAAATTTAAACATCATTTTTACATCACAAATCAATACTTAATTCTATTATTCTATCATCAGTATTGAGACATACTACTTTTTATGGAAAATTGACCAAAAAATGGTTAGTTTTCCCCAATGACAGAATTTTTTGTGTGAGGCAAATGTGGTGTGTAACCTGATCCCTGTTTAATTATAGAGAATTGGTACAAGATATTGACACCAGTGGACTCTAAGCTTGATTGGTCTGATTGGGAAGGAAGAATTAAGGTGAAGGAAAATAAACTTGAGTTTGTATCAGCCACCATAATCAAGTGTTTCCTGTGTTTGAGAAGGGGTGTTACAGAATGGCTGTCCAAGGTATGGAAATATTTTAATCTACAATTGTGAAAGTTGGTGTAAATGTCTCACTCAGACAGATGTATGATAGGCGGGGGCAGGTGTTAGACAATAGGGCTTGTTATACATATAAACTTGGCAACATGAGGACAGACTTTACTTTTATTCTATTCTCAGGTAAAATATATACTGTTCTGTGTCAAATATTTCTTTGAAATGAGAGATTTTTAAGCATATTTCTGTTGTTATTATAATGTATGCTTACTTGAGTTTCAGTAAGATATATCAATCTGACATCAAAATTTTTTGTGCAAATTGATGCTCAAACATAAATCTTCAATGTACCAAGTTGTTGGCCTAAAATGTATGCTTTTTTTAACTGAATGATAATTTGAATTAAAGTTATCTGAAGCATGACAGATGTCCTCATTTTACATGTGACGACTGATACAGCTTATAGCAACTGTTTACATTAGAATATTCTTACATTTTCTCTTTGAAATAAAGTTTGTCACAAGAAGTTCACAATCTTTCTAAAATTCAGTTTGTAGGTTAAATAAATTCATAATCACATGACTTAATTGACCTTGACTTTAACAATTGTCATACCTAAATCCTTACTTACTTGTCTGAGAAATCTCTGAAAAGGTAAATTTTACAGTCAATGAATAATAATTTTTGTTTAAAAAAATTTTTTAAATAAAAATATTCATAAAAATCAGTTTATGACAATTCTCAATTGCAGTAGTATTTGTTTAAGTGATATTTAAATTTCAGTGACAGTTTAAGGACATCTAAATATAGTATTTTATAATAAGATGAACAGGATGGGTTTTTGTGAATGATAACAGATTTCATTGATAAGTTATTTCCTTCCTATAAACTCCTACAATTATATATTACTCATATTATAATGATCAGTAATTGACCTTTAATAAATTCATATAATTTGGTTTATTCATACATGTTAACATTGTATGTGAATGTCAACAAGTCTTAGTTGTAAATTTTCTGTTTTATCCTGTAATTATAAATTTATTACTTATATTAGTCTTTTAACCTTTAGGTTGTAATACTTTCCCAAACATTTGACAGATCAAATCTACTTGTAACCTATTTTACATAACATACAATACCACAGGAACTACAATGTAATCTAATTAAGAGTTATTTCCCTTAACAGTTTCACCGCATGGTCATTATTGACCGTCATTAAGGAAGTTATAAGAATGAATAAATGAATGTGAAAGTAAGACCATGATTGCTGGAGGTTACATATATACATGTGCATAAAAACTGCAAATAACAACCTTCCAGCATTAAAATACTACTAGGGGATGTGTAGCGACCTTGACTGGCTGTTAAGCTCTGTAGGTTAAAATGTAAAATGAAAATAGAAAACATAAAATTAAGTAGTTATGCAGAAATTTACTATCATTAGTTTTGAAAAAAAAAAACAATAAAATAATTTATGGTTCTACATTTGTGAATTTTAAAGACAAAAAAATATGTTTTAATTTTATGTTTTCACAAAATATCATCAGGAAGGGGAGGTAACTTACAAAGGGATAACACATATTGTATGTATCTAATTACATTGATTAAATAAAGCAACAAACATAATGACCTATATTTAATGAAACTGTCATTTAAATAAAAAAAGAATAAACCAAAAGGGAGAAAAGAAGAAAACTCTTCAATATTTTTATCTGTGTATTATGCATCCATATGAGATCCTTAAGAGTACTTCTTTAATACTGTTTAAAACAGAGATGATTCTTTCTACTTAAAGTGCATGAACAATTTCCTACAAAAAAACTAAATGGATTTGCATTAGAAAATGTGTGTCATAGAGTGTGTTTTTTTTGTTGGTCTTTTGATCATTAGGAAGGCCATTAAGACTGGATGTCTCTGTAATTTGACAGTGAAATTTGTCTTACAATAGTTATAAGTAGTAATTTCCTGCAGCCAAAGGTGAATGCTTAGATTTTATGAAGTGCAATGCAAAAGTCATTTTAATGTATAAAACTTGCATAATACACATGTAATCAGTTCATGTCTTCAGTTGAATTATTTGTAAATAAGAAACTTAATTTTCTCCCATGAAAAGATAGTATAAACATTTAATCAATATGAACATGAATTCTATGCATGACCTGAAGGCTAAAATAAAATTTGACCTAGTAGCCTTTATCTGTTGATGGTCTTGACAAACAGCCAAAATCTGATGGAGGATATTTTAGAAATTACAAAAATTATGAAAAAGAAAGAAAAAGTTTTATTTTTCTGTATTAAAAGATAAGACATTTTCTGAAAGTAAATTTTTTCCTCCCTCACAAAGTACTTGACCTAGATTTCATCCTATAAGCTGTCATAGTGAGCCTGTTCATTGATTTACTATGTTGAGAATTCCTTTCTATTAATAGAACAGCTTGAGTTGTGTCTGTTACAGAGGAAATCCTCACCCTGGGAGATCTGACCCACAAGTAAGATAATACTACTGTTTTTATGAATGAATTGCCTTATTTTGTACTTTATCTTTTTTTCATTGATAAAAGTATCATTCAAGTTTTAGGCCGAAAATTTAGTTGTTTGTGATTGAAGATGATTGTGTATTCTCTTGTGTAAACTGAACTTGAATAATTCATTTGAGAACTTACGATCTTTTAATATTTTTATCATACCAAATTGTTAAGTAAATATTTGCGTTTGAATTTAAATATTGGAATTTTGACTATTACCTATTAATGTTGGTAAATGCGCAGTACAAGGTAAGAAACACACTTTAATACATTTTATAATCCATAAACTTTCATGTAATAGAAATGAATACACGGAGATGTAAATGAAGGTTGCAACCCAGCAACACAACAGAATCAGTATAAACATCTAGAGGACAACATATGGTCATCAACAATAGACAAGTGCTATTGCCATATGCTAAGCTTCAAAATCGTCCCGGGTGAAGAGTCTAGACATTTTTTAATGAAATTAATATAGACTACCAAATTTCAGTCATCAACACCAGTTACTTTTACGTTTGAGAAGAAAATACTATTAATTGTTTATTCTATTTGAATTTTTCGCTGCTGTAAAGAAAAGAAAAGAGGCAATTCATCCATCCAAGAATATCTCCCAACTTTCATGTTTGACTTAATTATACTTTGCAAATTTTTTACACAAATGTAAGGATTGATATTGAAAAGCTAATTTTGGGTTTTTAAGAATTTCACTATTGCCACTGGAGAGTTTTAGACATTGTACTAGGAAAATCAACAGTTTTAGACTTTGTACTAGGAAAATCAACACGTTTAGACTTTGTACTAGGAAAATCAACAGGTTTAGACTTTGTACTAGGAAAATCACAGTTTTAGACTTTGTAATAGGAAAATCAACAGTTTTAGACTTTGTACTAGGAAAATCAACAGTTTTAGACTTTGTACTAGGAAAATCACAGTTTTAGACTTTGTACTAGGAAAATCAACAGTTTTAGACTTTGTACTAGGAAAATCAACAGTTTTACCCTTATTCTGAATAGTATAGTTTGCTCATTAAACTGGACTATTCACTGAATTTGAAACATGGTACCATCGAAACAACAGTTTTATTTGTGGTTGTGATACTAAATAAACATTAGACTGAAATATTTTTTCGTCCTTTGGTGCAAAGCATAGTATATAATAAATGACTTTAATAAATGGACAAAAAAATATTTTCTCGTTCACTTTTTATTGTCATTACTGGCCATTGTATTTTCCTAAAATTGTTGTATCTATAAGAGGGAAACAACAATATAAGAATGATAGTTCTGTTAACAAGAATGGGAACCAGTTAGATACTCTGTCTGGCCTTCATATGTACCAACTGTTACATTCATATTAAACTAGGAGGAAAAGTTCATGTTTCTTATGAAAAAACAACAAATAAATGCTCAACCAGCCATAATATTAAGGTTGTTCATCACTCTTTATTTGTACCACTTATGTCTGTAGTCCATCTGTCTGTCTGTCTGTCTGTCTGTTAGTCTGTCATGTTTTTCAAAAATCTTACTCTGTGAATCTGTGAAACCAGTTGGTAGATTTGTATAAAAGTAGTCTGTATTACCATTAGATATATATTGTAAATTCACAAATTATTGCAAGGTTTTTATTAACACCAATAATGTCACTCCTTGAGTATCGCAATAAGAAGAACTCACGTTCTGATATCTGATACATATATCAGTATGTAGCTTTTCCTAAAATTACAATAAATATATATATTATAAACTCTCAATTTTGTTCATTCTTCAAAAATCGCAATAATAAATGCATGCAATAAATTCTGAATTAACAGTAATTAAGGGCATGGCTGCCATTTCTTTAAATAAGTCATAAGGTTTATCTATGGTAAGGGCAAAGGTGTCAAATCATTCTAAATGTTAATTTTTAATGGTTATTCCAATAAAAAAAATGACCAATTTAAGTCAAGCAGAGTAATAATTAGCAGCAGATTTTTTTCTGTTAGTAGAATCATAAGTTACATTCCTTTGGCTTAATACTAACCAGAGGAATAGTAGGAACTAAAAAGCATCATGAAAAAAAAGTATGTGAATTTACTCTTGGCAGTCTAGTAGATATTAAACTGACATTTATTATATAATTGGATAACGAGTAGTTACACACCTAATAATTGTATAACGAGTAGTTACACACCTAATAATTGTATAACAAATAGTTACACATCAGATTTGGGTTTAATTATGATTGAATGAGTGGTGTCCTAATTGAAGCTAATGAACTTAGAAAATTGCTGAAAAAGTGAATACTACTTCTTTTTTTGGCCATATTGACCGGATTTTTGGTGTCCTATTGAGAAGTTTATGCTTCATATTCCAAGAATACTTTTTATGCCCCCGCCATAGTGGAAGGGGCATTAAGGTTTACCCTTGTCCATCTGTACGTATACCCCAAAATTGGTTTCCATTCTCTAACTTTAGTTTGCCTCAACCAAATGTTGTGACACTTACACAATGTTTATTACTACAAAACTCAGTTCAAGTTAGAATTTGGGTAACGTCACTTTTACAGTTCTGGAGTTACGCTCCTTCATAAATGGAAAAAATGGTGAATTTTCCATTTTGTTCTCTAACTTTAGTTTGCTTAAACCAAATGTTTTGAAACTTATACACAATGCTTATTACCAAAAAACACAGATCAAGTTTGATTTTGGGTGGAACCACTTTTACAGTTCTCTAGTTATGTCCCTTTATAACGTTATATGCAAAAAAAAGGGGGGGGGGGACATCATCTGTGTCCCATGGACACATTCTTAATTTATTTTTACTTTGATATTCAGAATTTTGCATATTGATACAGTCTCATTAAAAAAGACTGATCTTTCATATAGTATATTCAGAATACTTTCTTCAATTATAAGTTTTCTTATTGGTGTAATTAGAACATAGACTACAATTGACATTTAAAAGAAACTGGAGTAATTCATTGCATATTTATAATCTAAGACTTGTTCTTGAATTAATTAAATAACTACTGCCCATGAAAAATAACATTTTTATGTTCACAAGGCGTAAGAAGTGTTTGGTAACAAGAACTCATATAAATATTATATTATGACGCCTACAAAAATAAAATCATCAATTCATAGTAAGTATAGAAATTAAATCTATAATTTTCTACGATCTTTAATGACTAAGCAAATATATGTACAAATTATAATGGAAAAATTATATCATTTTGCTTAAATATGTCATCTGAAAAAAAAAATTCAATAGTGATACCTGATGGTAATAATAGATAAAATTGTTATCACAGAGATATGTCTCGCGTTTTTGTAATTTTGATTATGCAAATGTTGAAATTAAAATGGCAATACTTAACAAGTTAGGATAATATTCAAAGTCAATGAACCATGACTGAGGTACATGGCTAAACCATCTCCATGTAAATGAGATGCGCCAATGCTAATAGTGAATACTAATACAACTGCGCACCAAATATCATTGACTTATTATAAGTTGTTCCCTTTAAACAAACATAAACACAAACATTAACTTGTAAACTGTGTAAAAGTTTCAAAGTCAATGAACCATGAAGAGGGGGTGGAGCTATATAATCTCCATGGAAACGATACTTACAAATGCCAATAAATTTGCATACCAAATATCATTGACTTAACATTAGCAGTTCATCTTAAACTGATCTTATCACAAACTAATACATGTAAACTAAGCAAAAGTTTCAAAGTCAATAGGCCATGACTGAGGGGATGGGGCCAAATATTCTCCATTGAAATGAGATGTGCTAATGCTTATACAGCTGAATACCAATTAACATTGGCCTACCACTAATGATTCCCCTTGAACTGACCTAATCACAAACTAATACATGTTAACTAAGCAAAATTTTCAAAGTCAATAGACCATGACTAAGGGGGCTGAGCCAAATAATCTCCATGGAAATGAGATATGCCAATGCTTATACAACTGCATACCAAATATCGTTGACCTACCACTAATGGTTCCCAATAAACTGACCTAATCACACAAACTAATACATGTAAAATAAGCAAAAGTTTCAAAGTCAATAGACCATGACTGAGGGGGCAGGGCCAAATAATCTCCATGGAAATGAGATGTGCCAATGCTAATACAACTGTATACCAAATATCATTGACCTACCACTAATGGTTCCCCATAAACTGACCTAATCACAAACTAATACATGTAAAATAAGCAAAAGTTTCAAAGTCAATAGACCATGACTGAGAGGGCAGGGCCAAATAATCTCCATGGAAATGAGATGTGCCAATGCTAATACAACTGTATACCAAATATGATTGACCTACAACTTGTGGTTTACCACAAACTAGACCTAATCACAAACTAATACATTGTTGACGCCACCGTCGCCGACGCCAGAAACAGCATACCTATGTCTCGCTTTTTGACTCCGTCAAGCGAGACAAAAACTAGGTCAGGCCAAAAATTAAATTTAAATTGTTTGATGTTGCCTACCTACCCATATTAAAGGCAGCCTTCTGGAAATATTTATTACACAAATTGTATTTCAAATTTTTTTTAAGATATTTTTTCCTGCTCTAACATTGTATTCTTGTCTAAAACATGATACTTGTGCTGTTGGACAAACTAATAATAAAATATCTACCTACCTACCCAACCCTACAAAGCATGGGTAGGTAACTTCAAACATAGAATTTTTTAAGGGTGGCCTCATGTCATCCATTGTCTAGTACCTATGTGTTTTTCTACTTGTAAATGTTTGAATTCAAGATCAGATGATAACCAAGGAATGTTTCTTTCAGTTTTTTATCCCTGTACGTACCAAGTCACTTTATTAAGCTGACTGTTTGTATATTGTTCATGTTGATTGTCCTAGTTTGTGAAGTATGTTCTGAATTTAATAAATTTGGTATTATCTATAATATCTTCTCATAAGATTGTCTTGGCTACCATCCTTGTGAGCTTTTTGTCTTTTCTTGGTGTCTGCTGCTGCTCTATGCAACATGAGCACCTTGATTTCCTCCAGATATGCTGAAGGAAATAGGACCGAACAAGTAGATATATTTCTCTCATGGTGTCTGCTACTGCTCCATGCATCATAAGCAACTTGATTTCCTCCTGATATGCTGAAGGAAATAGGACCAAACAAATAGAGTTGTTCCTCTCTTGGTTTCTGCTGCTAATCCATGCATCATAACCACATTGATTTCAGCCAGATATGCTGAAGGAAATATGACCAAACAAGTAGATATGTTCCTCTCTTGGTTTCTGCTGTTGCTCCATGCAACATGAGCACTTTGATTTGCTCCAGACATGCTGAAGGAAATAGGACCAAACAAGTAGATATGTTCCTCCGTCCTTAGACTCTGTTCATAAATCAACCTTAAAACCGAATTATAATCTGAATTGCTCCTTAATACTATTTACAATCACATGTATTCTGTAGTAGTTTTGAAGTTGTCAATTAGAAAATCATTCCACACAAAACAGGTAGATTGACAGATTGAAAGTTTTTTTTTTATACTGACGGATTGTTGTTACTTCAGCTCTGGTTAGCTAATAAAAAGGTGCACAGGCTAATTTTTATCCACCTCCACCAAAGTTTTACCAAAAAAATTGTGGCACATTTTTCTAAGGAACTACAAATAAGAGCTTCAAGAAATTTGGTATCAATCTTCATGTGAGCATATTATACTGTATGATGTGTTTTCACACCAATTGCTTCCTGTTTAATGAATACTTTTGTATTGTTACACATGACCATGTATGAAATTTTCATTACATTTCTGCAGGAACTACAAATCATTCTACCTGAAATTTTGTATCAATCTTTATTTAAGCATGCTATTCTCAGGAACTGCAAATCGTTCTACCTAAAATTTGGTATCAATCTTCATGTGAGCATGCTATAGTGTATGATGCGTTTTCATTTCCATGGTTGATAAACTTCCTGTTAACTGAATACGTACCTGTAGATATTTTTGCACATGGCTATGTATGAAATCTTAGTCACATTTTTCTCAGGAAATACAAATCAGAGCTTCCTGATATAAGGTATCAAGCTTCATATGAGCATGCTATACTGTGTGGTGTGGTTTCACGTGAATTCCTCATCAACTTCCTGTGTTCTGAGTACTTATAGCAGTGGGTAACATGAGTAAGCAGTAGCTCATAATACATCTTGTTTGCCCAATTTAATTTTTTTTTTAGAAAAGAGCAAATGTCCAATCATAAGAACTGTGCAGAAAGGTTCCTTATGATGTACATAATACATTATATTATACTGCTATCACCTGACCAATATGAATGTTTCATTGGATATATTGGGCATGAAAATATTTTTGTTTTAAGAAAAGTAGCAATATTTTTTTCACCACTTACCACGATTGATTTTATGCATGCAACTCTTGAATATAGTGCTATTTAAAAAATAAAAGAAAAATTATTTTTCAACTCTTGTAAAACATTTTGTACAACGAAAGCGTATTTCAAATAAATGATTCACCCTTTTATGGGGGTTCTCATCCCTGGTTTGCATAATTTATGTGTTACAGGCTGTATAAAAATGTTTTGAATCAATTTTGTTGTGACATACTGAATGTGACGCATTATCTAATCATTACTTGCCATGAGCAACATCACAGATACCAATAGCAGGGAACTGCTGAGCAACATCACAGATAGCAGGGAACTGCTGACCATTCTTCAACAGCTGTTTTCATCCCAATTTTTGGTAGGGTTTATTTTGCTCCATCTCTTCAGTTTTTGACTATTGTTTGTCTTTTGGCCATGATCTTACCTGTTTTTGTTTGACTTGTGGTCATCCCAATTTTTGGTAGGGTTTATTTTGCTCCATCTCTTCAGTTTTTGACTGTTGTTTGTCTTTTGGCCATGATCTTACCTGTTTTTGTTTGACTTGTGGTTTTGACTGCCCACGTTGCATTGTCTCCCCTTTTTTAATATTTAACTAAAATATCTGACATGATTTTGATGTTGGAGTGGAAGTAATGTAACACAATTATTATATAGATGTTGTCCAGTATTTCAAACTAAATGAGCAGTACTAAGATTTGGCAAACTTTCAGTAATTTGGAGAAAATTGAAATTTATAAAGCTGCTAACTTGTTTATCATATATGTTTCATATACGGTTTACTCATGAGAAAGTACAATAGTTTGGGTGTGAACACATTACGTATGTCTTCAAACTTTTGTGTGGGATAAATAATGATTTATATGTACTATGGTTTACAAGTTAGTATTTTCCTGTAGAAAAAATAACCAAAAGGATGTATATAAATTTAAGAAAAGTTTATTTAGATTTAAATGATTATTATAAAATTGTCTTCCAGGAATATAAAAGTTAAACAAAACATAACAATGGGAGTCAGGGCGATTTGACAACACCTACAACTGTAGACAGATAATCCAAGTAATAGTGAGGAATGTTATTGGTTGGGAAGAAGCCATGTAGAAGATTCTTGACAATCATAAAAATCGTAAGTAAATTATTTATTTACCCCTGCTGATGTTTGATGAAGAGAAATGCTGCTATCTATTTTAATCCCAGAAGATAAGGGTCAGCATTGGTAGATTTAGTACAAGTTGATGAAAGTATCTTAAAATAATTTTGATGGCAAATCCATGTGATAACAAATTGATTTCCAAACAGGATGCTAGGAACCTATTAGAGTTTTATGATTTAAGAGAGAGGTTATAGAAAGTACAAAATTGTTAGCAGATTAGTGTTAACTTAGAAACATTTATAAGACTGGAATTTTTACAAGAACTGCTCACATGAGAAAATTTAGATAGTTAATTTCAGAAGATCTAAATCAAAACTGAAAGACCCCGTGGAATGAACAAGTTTTAATTTACAATTAAAGAGAATCATTATATTTTGTCTTGAATTGGGTTTTTTTTTTAATCTGATGAATCAATTTCTACTAATCTGCACAATAGTACCAGACAAAACATCTAAATTTGACCTTTTATGACCTTTCCCCCATTGCTTCATTTGACAATAGTGAATTAAGGACCTTTCACAAATTTGGCAAGAGCTTAGAATTGTCAAAAGAAATTCTTAAAAAGTTGGTCTTTCTAAAAGTGACATTTCCACGATTGATAGTCCTTCATGATGACTTAGATGTTATTTACAATTATGAAAATGAAGAAAAACTCAAATTTGCCCTAAAATGTCCAGGTAGTCGTGACATTAGTAGAAACTAGCTGTGGCATACATGCAAAACATTTGCATGCTAAGCAACCTTTAATTTAAATGATAAGGACATTGAGTTTGGAAAGCAGATCTTTGTACAGGGGTTCCATTTGATAATGGAGCCTTTGATTTGATAGAGAGATAATTTTAAAATATTTTCAACACATATTTTAAGGATCTGGTGGTTTTGAAGCCAGGAATTCAATGTTCTGCCGTATAAAAGAGCCTGTACAATGGAAAGAAAAAAATTAGCTATGTGTATATTAACAAGTGAGGATCTCCACACAGATAAAATGTTTGCAATGTTAATTGGCGTTTTGAAATTACAGTTCAATCATTTGAGATTAAGATGTAAATAATCCTCAGATAAGACACACCTACACTGTTAAAATGCTTAGCCAGTTAGTAATAAGTTCACAAAGTGTCAAATACATACATAAAAATTTACTTTTAACATATACCCCCACATCTTCTTTTATTCATATATATAAAAGACAAATTCAGACATGATTCTTTTTTTATTATTTTAGACATGAGATTTACTGTATTTTACATCTTTTATCAACATTAGCCTTTAGCTGACCTTTATATGAACCATGGATAAGCTGAGGACCTTTTCTTGTTCAAATTGATGTAACAAGTTACTAAAATGATAACTTCTTCATATCCTCCAATGGACAAAGGACTTTCAGTGACAATTTTTGGGACAGCATGTCTGATTTGATAGGGCCTATTAAGAGGGAACTAAGATAAGTCAATTAAATTTGGGAGGACAGGAGTAAACTTCTTAAATGAGAGTGTTGATATTGTCCTTCATTTACCAGTCAATAGAATCTCTAGATTATAGACAGGTTTTACAAAACCTTAAATTGATGAATATGGATATTTTAGCATAATTTGAACGTATGGGGGAAAAAAACGTGGTTAAAGAATTTATATTCAAATGAAAGTCATAAAAGTGGAGGAAATTATATCCAGTAATGAGGTAAAGTTAATTCACAATCATAACTATTAGGGAATTGATTAAAACTAAGTTTGTTACAGAGACACCCACCCCTTTCGATCTATAAATAGATTGATTCCCTATACATTAGTAGACAATAAACTCCTACTTTTTATTTTCAGTATCAGAGATCAATACTATTTAGATCCATTTACAAGTTACTAGGTGGGAAAACATCAATAATAAGGGAATCAAGGATGGTTTTATTAGATCAAAATTTCATATTATTACAGAATTTTTTAACTAAATTTTTGGATATAATTTTTTGATGAAAATGTTGGAATTGCAATAATTGGTCTCGACAGGAATTTAAATTGTATGAATAAAGGGATACTTTATATTTGTCACCTGGGAATAACTCTAATGAGATAACTATGTAAATGTTTTTCGGACATTCTGAGAGATAATTGTCTTGTAAATTGTTTGACCCTTTGCCTCTAACACCAGTAGACTATGTGTGTGGTAACTGCAACGTCTGGATCTCAGGCCAAGGCATTCACAATTCTTTGGTTATCACAGTAGATTATTACTGTAGGCACACTTACACTTCATTACTTTTAAAATGTTCTTTAAAATTTAATCTGATAATTATCATTTAAAAATATTTGAAGGCTTTCTGGCAATATTTCAGTTCTGTATGTTTAAAGAAAATTACACATATTTCAGTTGTTTAAATATTTGATTTATTAATAATAAAATAACTAAGCTCATAGTACAAGTTATGTATTGCCAGTTCTTACTTGTCTTTGAAACAACAATTAAAATTGCTACCATTAGTTTATTATGACATGTGGTTTATCATCAGGTCCCAACTAGTGTTGAGATGGCTAAACAGGTATCCAGTTCTTACTTGGTGAAAATGTGGTAGATAGTATAGTCACCATTTTGCATTTTTTTTTATATTTTGGAAGAAGAAAAAAAACTACAAAAAAATATTGATATTATGATTGAGATTTGTTTTCTATCAGAGGATCTTAGATACCTTGCTTTGGCTAGCATTCCGCTAAAATTGTTGACTCTTGGAAAATATGATTGTTCACTTTTTTTCTTTTTTTTTTTTAGATAGAACTAAAACAAAAGTTCACAGCATTCTTTTGTCAATTATTTCCAATTTACAACTGATTGCTTTATCTGTTCTTTTTCATACCCTGAACAAAAAGTAACATTTTGTCATCTCAACACTTCTTAGGGGATGAAATGCAGGTTAATAATGATTATGCAGCTAACAAATATAAATTACGTTGCATACAATGTCTTACACTTTACAACAAGGAATTATTTGAATCCGGAATTATTTTGAATTCTGGAAAATTGATTTGAAATGCATGATGAAAACTAACCCAATTTAGGAGGGTTAGCCAAGCATGCATGGCTAAAGGGAGTTAGTTTGTTCATACAGAAATATCAGTAAAAATTATGTGAACCTTAGCCATGCTCGCATGGCTAACCCTATTTAGTTTGGTTAGTTTTCATCATACATTTCTTATAAATTTTCCAGAGTTCAAAATTATTCCAGATTCAAAATAATTCCTTGTTTTACTGTGAATTCATTTATTTTCATGGGATTGATAAAAACTTGCATTTTCATGGATATTTGATTTCATGGTTTTGCCAGATTCTGCATACATTCCTATAGAAAATTTGTAATTCGTTGAACATTTAATTTCATGGTTCCCCTGTAGCAAAGAAATCCACGAAAATTGGTATCCTACTAATAATAATGAATCTACAGTAAGTGAATTATAAATGTTAAAATAACATTGAATTCAAATTAATTTAGAAATGCTCATTTGAAAGTTAAAGCTGTCCCCACACTGGACAACCTAAAATTTAGTCAAAATTGACCAGAATTTCTAAAAGCAAAAAAAATCATCAGAGAACATTTGCTCAAACTAATGTTTAAACATGACATTTTAAGTTGAAATATGGTGGTATGAATGGATTCTTTTCAAAGACATACTGCAGAGGACCATCTTTATGTGACATTTAAGACAGAGATGAATTATTTTCAAATATTTTGTTTCTGGACATCTTTGCCCAGACACAAAAGTTTTCTGATATAATTTACAATGAATTATGAAGCAATCGTCTGCATATTACTCAATTTTCTGCAGTAAATCATTGATTTTGTAAAGAGATGTTTGCATTTCCTAGTAAAGAGAAGATTAGAATATGTAAATTTGTTGTGAGGATGCCAAGAGAGCATATGATTATTAATTTGATAATGTATAAGTGTAAAATGTAGAATTTGAAAACTTTATCGGAACATCAATATTGTCTGTTATTTGTATCACAGGATAAATGTGATCATAATCTCTGGCTCTTATTTTATCCAAAAAAAATCAGGAGAAATATTGATTGTGTTAATGTTTTTATACACTGAAAGTGAATCCTATCTTTTATGTTAAAAAGAAATTTTATCACTTTTCATTTTATTTATCCTTCAGGCAGAAGAATCAATGTTTCCACTTGATAAAATGTCACAAGTAGAATTTATCTGTAAAAGACTGGAAAATTTCTTGTATCCATCTATCAACTTTGAACATAAAAGTGGTTTTTGTTTTCCTGTTAATTACAGGTTAATGGTGACATTTTGGATAAATATGTTTGCCATAAGTTTTAAAAGTGTTCCTCAGATTATAAACTGATCAGCTTTTATAGGGCATTGTTTTAGAACTCTTAGAAACTTGAATCAAGTCTAGTGACAGGTTAAATAACAAGTGACAGTTCATTGGACTAAATATTGTAAATGTGCTGTAAAAAAGAAAACTGTTGTGTTCAATAGCAGATGAATTTTTACTTTACCAAATGTTTGATGAAAATACCACAAAATTTCATATCAATTGCTTTGAGGCAGCAAGACAATTGTCACATATTACTTCCTCAGTCCAGCTGGTTGATTGATTGTTAGTGTTGAATGCCACTTTCAGCACTATTGGCTGTATCATGGCGGTCAGTTTTTATTGGTGGAGGAAACCTGAGAGAACCACGATCTTGGGTAGGAAAACCTCAGAGTTGACAGGCTAGTTATACAGTAGATGAAATACATAGACCACTCAGCCAACCAAGGCCCCTAGTCAAGTTGAACATGCCTTGATAAAGAACGATACAGATTTCTTTTATATATTTTACTTTGAACTGAAAGTATTTGATATAATCTAAGTAGAAAAGTGTAAATCTATGAAGACATCTTTTGTTTAGAACAAGTAAGCTAACATCTAAGGAGTTTTATCCTCAGTTCTTTCTTTATTTCTTTTGAAGGATTAGTTGAAGACTTGGTAGTTTGGTCTGCACACCTGTATAAAAACGGATTATGTCTAAAAAAAAGAGTAATCAGAAGCAAGGAAGATATAAAGATAGCTACAGGATCTTCTAAAAACATCAGAAACTTGCAGTATTATACCAATTAAACATGGTAGGCCTCTTCTGTAGTTATAATGTCAACTAGGCGTAACCTTAGAAACCAAAATCACCAATTGCTTACCTCACCAAATATCTGAAATGAATTTAAGAGAAACTAACACCAAAGAAAGCCAAAAATTAAGTGTCAAAGTTATTTGACAATGACCCGGATGTAAGAAGAATCGAGAAATCAATATTAAGTCACCTATGAAAACTTGATTTTCTGAAAGCACTATCTATATAGAACATTTTCTATTTTTGAAATTTCGGAACTATTTTGTTTTCATATAAAAAATAGCTGAATGAGCTAACATCACGTGTCTTTGTATTCCTGAACTATGAGATCTGCAGTTTACAATATCGAGATCTACAGGGTACCCTAGGGAAATCTTAGTAAATAAAGGACCATAGAATGATTTACAATAATATTTGTCCAGTTTACATCATTTAGGACTGTTTTTATTGAATACCCAGTGATTCTTTCATGGGTTAGTACATTTTGTTAAACTTCCACAGTTTTTGGTGTAAACGGTTGGAATTTTAAAATATACTTGTATGTAAAATAACTTGTATATATAAAGACTCTACTACAAGGGAGGTGACATTTGGCTGGAAAATGCTAACATTGAAATAAAGATAATGATTGAAATTCTTAGGTAAAATTGAAAACAGATACAGTATCTGGAAAGGATTAGAACAATGATTAGTAGTGCCTAACACCTGGTTGTTAATCATCACCATTCATACTATAGAGGGTAGATAATTGTGTAATGAATTGTCAACAATGAATGTACATTGCACTCCACCTCTACATATTACATTCTTCTACATTCCTTTACATGTGTTGGCCTCATGCATTTTTCTTATGGGTTTTTCCATGGCCTTCTTATACCATTAAACAGAATCATACTTGTGTGGTACTATATTTGTGTTGTAGTATAAAAGGTGTAGTAAATTTAATTACCAACTTGAAAAAAAAACATCATTTTTAGCTCACTTGGCCAAGTGAGCTTTTCTCATCACTTGGTGTCTGTTGTCGTGGTCTGTTAACTTTTTAAAAATCTTTTCTGAAACTGCTGGGCAAAATTTAATCAAAATTTGCTACAATCATCATTTGGGTTTCTAGTTTGGAAAATGTGTCCAATGACCCTGTCTGCCAACCAACATGGCTGACATGGCTAAAAATAGAACATAGGGGTAACATGCAAATTATGTCTTAATCTTCAAAACCACAATAGATAGAGAAAAACAAGATCTACAAATAGGTCAAAATGATGAAAATCATCAGTTGACTCTTTTTTTGAGTTATTACTCTTTAAGGACAATTTTTACCAATTTGTAGTGTTTTTAAAGGATATATACAAGAGATATAATTTTTTCTGATGAATAGGAATATGACCAACATGGTCCTTTTTTTCTTTCAACTGTTAATACAAAAATAAAGAGATGTGGTATGTTAAGGCTATCAACAACAAAAAATGGAAAACTTTCAAAAGAGGTTTATTTTCGCTAATTTCGTGATTGAGATAAAATCGTCAAAATGTCCTTTCACATAGATTTGATCATAAGGAAGTTCAGATTCAGGAACAACTATTACACGAAAATTAAACCGCTGAAAAAGCTAGGCCTTTGAAATCATGAAATTGAAACTCCATGAACATAAACCACTACAGTAATATCAAATCATCAAATATTTTGCTATGGAATTTGTTTTTAGAATAATGCTTCCTGTTACTGCTAATAATATTAAAAAATTAGTATTGTAAAAGATACTTTTTTCATTTTGATGTAAGATGATTTTATTTCCTTCTAAGACAACAGATTTCCACAGTCAAAGTAAAAATAGGTCAGTTTATAGATTAAAATAGAAGAAATGAAATAATGATGATTTGAATCATATTATCTATTTATTAAGGTTAGATTTAAGTATATTAAATTAACTCAATTGATCATCTTTCATATTGCAATAATCTGATTTGTTATAAGAATATTTATCTCAACAAATATAAATAAATGAAATAAAAACAGCTTCATCTCTCCCCACCCCCATACTGACCTAATTAGATTAAAGAGAATTGGCATGGTTTCTTGAGAAATAAAAAATATAATTGGAATTGTAGATAATGATGCTGAGAAGTAAAGAGAATAGAATAGAATATCCTCTACATAAATATCCACTCATAAAAATGAAAAAAGGTTGATTAGCCTGTATCCTGGTTAGTATTGTTTTGGAATCTAACCTTTATGTTATTACAGGAATGTCGATTACCAGAATCTGGTAACACCAAGATATAAATAGGATTCCTACACAACATTCTCTGTGTAACAGATCAAACAGGCAATTGTTATCATTCATGTCAATGAGATTAACAGTCTTTTATTATATATTAAGGCATGTAAATTTTTTATCAGTAAATAAGAATGCTTACAATAGATGTAAATATATTGATCAGTTAGAGTTGTCTGCCACGGCTTATAAACGGTTATAAACGGCCTACGGCTAATATCAGGTGGATAAATGTTTGGAATACCTACACATCAAGATAGATATATACATTCCAGGTCATCTGTTGTACCTGGATCACCTAACGACAGGTGAAAAATGACAGGTAAGCTAAGCTTAAATGTTATATAGTTTTGTAATCAAATTTTATGTATTTGAAAAAAAGTTTATATTACTTTTTAAATATTTATTTTATACCTATGCTTTATTGTCCAAAAATATGTCAAATATTTGTATGGCAATATTTGTTTTATTTTCTAGGTCTAGATATATCTACATTTAGAGTTCTGGAGTTCTGTATGGAAGGTCATCACCTGTACAGATATATAGGTAGATATATTTCATTGATGACTTTGTAAAGAATTTTATCAGAAAACAGTTCATTTACTTTTAAAATTTGCAACTAGGCATGTTTTATAAAAGTTAAAATTAGGTATAAAAAATTTATGTAGGTGTGCTAAAAGTAGGTCAGGAATAGGCTAGTTTGTCATTAATTTTTTCTCCTTGAGGTAACTTAACAGTAATTGTAGAAGGAAATAGAGAAAACATATGTCAACATATACAAGTATCCAGAACATGTCAACATATATAAGTATCCAGAACATGTCAACATATATAAGTATCCAGAACATGTCAACATATATAAGTATCCAGAACATGTCAACATATATAAGTATCCAGAACATGTCAACATATATAAGTATCCAGAACATGTCAACATATATAAGTATCCAGAACATGTCAACAATTGGTAGCTTTCAGAATTGATATATAAGATTCATAAGGATTAGAAATGGTAAGAACTGTTAAATATTAAGACAGTATCTTCAGAGTTAAGTGCTTATTTAGGGGTTAACTTTCATCGATAATGCTTAAAGCTAAAATTTAGACATCCAATGTTGCATAAATTGGGGAGAAATGAAAACAAAGAACAGCCAAAGTCGTTTAAGGTGACCTTTGCATAGTGCAGTCTGAGCTTTTGTTTTTGTTATAACCTTTTGTTTTTCAATAATATAAAGTTAATTGATTGAAGTTTACTAAAATTTCTCCTGCTAGAGAATGTAAATCCCTTTTGATTGATAAACTAAAAGTGCTTTTGACTTGTCTTGAAACTAGTCCAGAAGTACAAGAAATTAATATATGCTTATTTGAGAAAAAAAGTTGTATGCAGACAAACGTTTGTTAGAAGTCATTAACATCAAACATTAACCCAGTTTCATATGAATTTAAAACTAGTACACCCTGTAGGATATATTTAGTACTGATTGCTCTTTCCTACAAGACGTCTACTTAGCAATGGAGAAAGCTAAGAGATAACTAATTACATTTAATGCAATTAAATAAGTTGTAAATGTTTATAGTAATGGTAGTACTATCTATTATTCAATATCTTGCTATCTGATCTGTGTGTGGTATCGATCTAGTGCACCATGCATATTTGTGTATTGATGTTTGAAGTAGCAGTTATCTTTTATTTAATGTGGAGCTACATTGATATTTATTAATAGGTAGAATAAGCTGTATAATAAATCCTCTTATGTCTGCTTAAGTCAGTAAAAACAGTTGTAAAAGGTTAATTGTTCATTGAGTATTGTAAAATGTCTTCCTTGGGAACTGTAATCTATATAGTAATCAAAATTCCTTATTTGATCATTCAGCAAAATTGTATGTTGGTAAATAGTGCTTATCATGCAAGGTTCTGTACAAGTACATTCTGATATGGTATGCTTATTTCCACAATTCTGTTAGAAGTGCTACTGATATCTTTGTATTGTAGAATACAATAAAACAAACATTCAAATCACTGCTTTTGTTTGTGACATAAACAATTAGTTTCCATTTTTTTTAAGTTCTGATTTGTGAAATTATGAAAGGATGGATACCTTTTTACAGAAGTATTGATTCATCAGTTTATTTGTCTAATTTTCAAATGTTTTAATGAAAAAAATGTTTTCTTTTGAATACTAGTAGTTTTTATCTTTACAGTTTAAAGGAAATAACTGTAAATTGAATACATTTTATTTGTACTTGTCACAAAACAGGATATAAACACTTTGTAGGCCTAATGGTTTTACTTGTTTGTAAGCTTTGTACAAATAAATTTTACGAAAGACAATGTATGTTTATTTCATTGCCAAAATACAGTTCTTTTTTCTTCTCTAAGCAAAAATCTTCTTATAGTATTTTTCAATGATATTTTATGAGGGGAATAGGCTGGAAACAACTTGACAACCCCTTACTTACAAAATATGTTAATAAAAGTTAAATTGAGCCCCTAAATATTTGTTAATATAGGATAAGTCATATAGCCTTAAAAGATATAAATTTTTGTAGCATTTACCTGGTACATGTACTCAAAAGTATCATTTTAAAATGTTAATTGTTACAAAAGTATAGTTGAGGCCAATTAAAATGTATAGTTGTGTTTCCTGCCTCCCTACCTACCCTAAATTTTCATGCTTACCGTAACACATTATATGGATATTTTTTTGTTAAGCAACATACCAGGCAGACATTATTTTTATTGAGAACCATTTAAGTCCAAAACATATCCCTCTATAGTCTATGTAAAATATTTAAATCAATAAAATTATTTTATGTACCTACCATATTTATTATACCCCACGCAACGAGTTGCGGAGGGTATAATGTTTTTGACCAGTCCGTCCGTCCGTCCTGTTTCTTGTCATCGCAACTCCTCTCAAACCACACAACAGAATTTCACGAAACCTTTTTAGATAAAAAGGACATATTATGTAGTTGTGCATATCGACAGGAAATTACGATTCAATTTTTTTCTAGGAGTTACACCCCTTTGAACTTATTTGCTTTAAGGTACTACTTCAACAGTTTGTCATCTCAACTCCTCCGAAACCACACAACAGAATTTCATGAAACTTTGTAGATAATAAGAACATACTACGTAGATGTGCATATCAACAGGAAATTACGATTCTTTTTTTTTTCTAGGAATTACGCCCCTTTGAACTTATTTGCTTCAATGTACTTCTGCAACAGTTTGTAATCTCCACACAACAGAATTTCATGAAATTTTGTAGATAAGAAGGACATACTATGTAGATGTGCATATTGACAGGAAATTATTATTCAATATTTTTTCTTATACAATTTTTTTTTGTTACACTTATTTAATTTCTCCAATGACAATGTTGGGACGTGGGGTATGTGAGCGTGCTCACTAAGGTTCTTTAATTTTTTTCTGGCAAGAGGCTGGAATCAAGTATATTTTTTTTTGCCTGATTTAAAGAATGCTTTTGCTTTTTGCCTTCATTCCCTGTGTTATCTTTACTTAACACTCTTTAAAGTTGCCTTTCAGAGAAGATTTCATTCAACTTTGACACCTTCAATGTATGTTTGTACTATCTAATGTCTAAAAAAAACTTTCTGCCTATTCATAGTTTTTAGTTACACCAAAACAAATGAATGTATATACTTGCGAGTATTTTTATGCATTCTTAACCTATAGAAGACTGATGAAACACTCAAAAATATTTGGTGTATGGTACCAGAATCTTAATAGCCAAATAGCTGATTCTATTTGTATTCGTAGACAGTGGGTGTTCATTATATTTTCATTAGAAGGCGTAGATTTATCAAGAATAAACCTTTCAGTTCTTTTTTCAGGCAAAATGACTTTTTATTTCACTTAATTAGACCGAGAATCTTAGTTGTCAATGTCCTTGGCCTTCTTTATTTTAGAGGATACTGGTACTAGAGTTTTATAGTGTACTACCTGCTTTGATTTTTTGTGCTTTAATAAAATGCCTACTCTGTATAGTTTTTATTATTGTTTTTTTCCCATTGGAACTGAAAAATTTGTCTCATAAAAGAAGGTAAAATAATTTAAGTCCCAAAAAATATTTTGTCTAATCTTTAACGTAGTATTTCCCTAAATCTCATCTTAGCCTGGCTGTAATTTTTGTTAGAGGGTAGCTTTCAACTTATTTCAAATAATTTTGTCATGGCTTCCTGTTTAACCTGACTTTTTTATAACCTTTTTCCTAGACATCACCTAGCTTATATCCGTGTAAGTGGTCTTTACTGATATTGTAATGTTTTTTTGTCATTAGGCAAATTTGCTGTTGGTACCATATCATTGATATATACATGTAGTCTCTGTAAAATTTTATTCACAACTTTATTGGATTTTTTTTAGGCCTTTACTTTGTATAAACACATGTCTATTGTTGAAGATGGTATTCTGACCTCTACGTAACAGAAAAATCACAGAATTTATATGTAGTGGCCTAAAGCGGTTATAAAATTATCTATACCATCCCATTAAGACAATCTAAACGGAGAAATACTTTCCATATATATAAACTTATAAATCTATTTTCATGCTGTTTATATGACTTATCTTCTAAGTCTCAAATGGTGTCAGAGTAATGACTGTGCAAAGACTAGGAATGATAGCTATTATAAAATGGTTCTCAACCTACAAGAATATTTCATCGTTGTAGGGAAGTTATATATAAACAGAATATTATTTTAATGAAATAGATGTTATATAATATTTAAGCTATGATATATCAGCTATGGGAAGAGTGTTCTCTTGTTTTGTGACATTTATTTAGTCAATTATAAGGGGCTTTGAAAACTAATGGATATTTAATGTTATTGATAAAGTTATATAAATGGTTTATGTATTTCAGTAATTTTATAATAAAAATTGATGTGGAATGGACAAAAAGTACAAAATTGTTCCCTTGTTCAAGTGATAAAATCTTTGAAATTGCAGTAGACGATTTTAATTCTGCTGTAGAATTGTCACTTATTATATTCATGTTGAAATTTGCCTAACAATGAATGTTAAGATTGATTTGGACCATGGTGATTATTGAAGAAAGCCTTGATTTACGTATAAGGAATGGGCCTTTTCAGGTCATTGATTGAATTTTTAAACAATAATGGGCATTGATTTCTCACTTTTTGAGATTTGTGCATAAGGCCCGTTGTCACTATCAAAGTTTTTGATGAATTTTTTCATGATGTCAACCGTCTTAGCAGGATTAGAATCTCATCCTAAAATTTTCATGAAACTTGGATGTACTCGGACAGGAATAATCCTATCACAATGCAGTTTTTCTTTGACCAAGTTTTTTATGGAAATGACAACCGATGACTCGGACCAAGTTAACCTGGCTTTTATCTTGACATTGGTTTAAAATTATTGATTGTTGGAATATTTTGAGTTAGTGATGGACTTGAATTGGATTTGGCAATATGGAGTTACTGACTGCCACAAAAAAGATTGCATTTTGAATGGGCAAAGATATACTATAGAGAAAGTTTACCAGTGGATACCTATTGATTCTTTGGCTTATATCATGGTTAGAAATGGACATAGACTTCTCGTCTCACTTATCATCTGACTGAATTATTGGACACTTTTTTAACGCCTACCTTGTCACGATATATTCATAGGTAAAGTTATGTTGAAACATCTGTTACTAATAGACATTTATTCATGTACAATGATTGAAAACAATAATCGGTGAATGTATGTAATAATGATGGCTTATTCTTATTGATTTTTGTGTCAAAAAAAAAAGGGATGTGTACATGTTTGAAAAAAGTTCACGCCTATTACAATAAAGTACATAAGAATGTAACAACAAGAATGTAACGATAACATTTGAATGGATGAAAGTTTATCCTACAGGGAATTATGATAAGGTCGTTGACTTAAGTTAACTTTTGGTTTCTCAAAGGTAGAAAAATGTGAGGTATGGCCAGGTAAAATTATATTTACTTTAGGAATCTAGAGATCAATTTGAATCATTAATTCTCATGCAAGAATTTAAATCTAAAGGGAAATATATGAACATTGTATTTGTATAAAAAATATTATTACGAACTCCTTTGATATAATATCTAATTGAATAAAATTAGCTAAATTTGATATCGATTTTTTGTGTCAATAATGTTGATTCTTTAAATTATTGCAAACAAATCTTTATGAGCAAGTATTTACAAAATATTTTAACTTTGAGAAGCTCTCAGGTTAGTGGAATTTTAGATGATGTGAAATTAAATTTAATGAGGCTGCATTATATAAATTTTTAAAATTCACAGACCTTTAGTATGAAATGTAAGTATTAAATTTTAAAACTTAATTTAAACATTCTAGAATTTGTTTTCTCTATCTAGTTATTTATATAAATTTTGAGTACATACTTGAGCACAAATGTAGTAGTTGGCAACTAATGTATTGTAGTCTGCTAGATGATTTGATTTATTTCATGTTGGAAGTTTAATATAAAACATACTCTGATTATATAATTACGGTTAATTAGCAGGTGAGAAATACATGTACCTGCTGATTTCTTTGTACTTCAGAGTCAGCAGTGTACTTATAACACTAAAGTTTATAAGCAGAAAGATGTATGTTCACAAATAATATCAAACTGTTTCTCAGATAAAATAATGCTAGAAATAAATCAAGACATCAGTCAAAGATCCATTTATTTGAACTTCCCCCTCCGTTTATTAACCACAGACTATATGGAAATGAATATTCAGTATTAATCCTAATGTTAGACTTTATATCCCTACCCACCTCACCTTCACCACTTTTCTGTTTTTTTGGGGCATAAAAAAATTGGAACTTCAAATTTTCCCTTTTATCAAATAGATGTTTAGTCTCTAGTTTACACATTTCTTTTCCTGACATGCTGTATTTTAATAAAATTCTGTTTTTCTGTGACTATTTTTAAAATGCCCTGTTGTTAGAAAATTGTACCTTTCTTTTAGCTTATATTATTAGGAAAAATATGACAGTTATTGACACAGAATAGATATCTTTTGCTCATTAAAACATTCAATTTCTATGGCAGTTTTATAATATTACTTTCAGTTCTATATAACCATGTGTTCCCTGAAGTAATGTTACAATAAATCATCTGTCTTTTTTTCAGCTCAAATGATTTTTTTATACTCACTAAAGTTTATTGTGACATATTATGAAAATATATTGGTTTGCAGTGGTACATGAAATATGAAGAAGTAGTCCTATATAAATATAATGTTGCTAATGAATCATTACATTTAAATATATTATATTTTAATAAACTTGTTCTGGATATGCATGAGATATTTGCCACTGTACAGTCAATAAATCTTATTTTACCATATTAGCTTTTTTTTGTAAAAGGATCAGTATCTGAATTAGTAAACATACACTATCAAAAAAGGGATCTATATTATATCTATATCATAATTAGATATATGTTTGGAATATTTTTCCTCTTTAAACTAAGTTTTAAAAACAAGGGAGATAACAATAAATATTTTAACCTGTAGATATTTAGGTTAATTTGTGTTGGCGGATTGGTGTCTTATTGTCATATTAAAAAAAACCAGATATTCCAAAAAATGTTAATTATGAGTTATAACAAATAATGATTGCAAAAAAGGTTTATTGAATGGGATTAAAATAAAATTGCCTTAAAAAGGCCACATATGATGCACTTTAGAAGAGATTTTGCAAGAGTTTTAACTTGCAGATAGAATGTCGTATTATTTTCTAAACCTACAGTGTGCTTCATTTGTTAAGTCCCCAGGGATGAACAAATAGAAGAGTATTTTTTTGTTTCAGGTTGAAATTTTACTAAGGTCATGGACAGATATGTCATTTGCATTAGACCTTACAATAAACAAAAACAAAAAATATGAAAATAATGTATTCTTGCTTTAATCTATATGGAATAAATCAAACCTTTTAAAAAAAATATCAATGAAAAAAATTTTGACCTAGTTTTCCCAGACTTCTTAATGCAAGCTGTTTCATAAAGAATTTATACCATAAACTTGTACTTTTATATTTATATACAAAACTGAATGAATTATTGTGAAATTATCGAGAAAGTGGATCAGTAACTATTGTTGCATATAAAAGCTTATCAAAATTCACATCATATCACAGAAAAGACAGAAAAGAGTTTGTGGAATTTGGTCCGTGTTTTAGTATAGCCCTTTAACTTTCAGACAGTATAAATCATGAAGGTGTTGTTGTACACATAAACATCTAAAAAGTAGTCATATGGTTATAATCCTAAAGATTAAACTGTAATAGACTGGTAGGTTTTACCCAATTGTTACCACCCCCTCTCTGGCAGGGATCCAGAACAATGATGAAGTTACACTTGGAACCAGTCCATATTGTTCATTCTGTATTGTTATACTCTACCCATCAGTATTATGCAATAATTAATTGTCTGGTATGAATATTTTAACAATTTCCATGGATATATAGGATAAAACACAGGAATGCAATGCATGCTTTATTGGTATGCCATTGTCTAATAATAGATAGATTAAGTGTAAAACAATAAATACTACTAGACTGTTATACTAGCAGGTATTTATGATGAGACATTTTAAAAGACATTTGAAGGGCACTTTGTACAATGTTTTCACTTTTTATTAACACGTTTCAAATCCTTCACCAAATCCTCTAAATTTTAAGGAATTGTATCAGAACTTACCAGTTTAATGGTTTTTGTTTGTTTTCTCACTCAAGATATGAAAAATATCAATTGAAATTGTTGTTTTTTGTCTAAAAGATATTTTTGGGATTATATTTTTATCTAGTAGTCAGTTGGACTTTTGACATGACAGCGTTGTCATTTAAAGTCTTATTAATATTTGGCTTCTGGTCACAAAGATTCTAATTTTCTATGTATTTATACACCCCTGGCTTTTAAATATTTGGCTTTGAACATTCTAGATAAAGGTTATTAAATCCTTAAAAGGGCTTCGGAAGCAGGAAATTTAAAAAGGGTTATTTTCTTCTAAAGGGGAATAAAGAAAGGTTGTTATTTATATGTGACTGTCAATCAAATTTTATAAAGATGATCTTTTTTGTTATCAAAACTTGAAATATTTAATTGTCTTTTATACCAATTTAAAAACTCTAAAAAATGAAATAAAAAATTACAGATACAATTACTGATTATCCTGTGATTATCATTTAAACCTATTACATTTTTTCTACAAAACGTAATTTTTTTTTATTAAATGCTCATATGATTCAAACATGTATCTTAAAGCAAATTGTTTTTTGCCCACATTGCTTTAAATGACAATCATTAAAAGTCTCCTACAACAAAGATAATTATTGTTGTTAAATTTTCCATGTAACAAACTCTACTCGAATGTTTCCACTAAGAAAATCAATGCTCCATATTTGTTGATGTGGGAGGTATAAAAAATGACTGCCATTATCAAGATATGTTATAAGTACAGTTGTAATGGCTACATAAAATATTGAATAAATGCTATTTACAAAAATTATGCACTACCGATTTCACTGACAAGTAGATGAAATTGCTTGAGATATTTTATCCAAAAACAATAAATTTATGAAGTATTGCAATTAACTATTAATGCAAAGATGTGACATGTTGAATAATATTGAAAATGGTATTATGAAAAATCATTTTTATTTTATCCACTGCTTTACCATTGCAGAGAAGTAATAGTGGGGTTCTATTTATTTTTCTACTGAGTTCTTTTGTCCAACAGTTTTTTGTTGATGATATATATAAGTTCAAGAGTCATGGCTCATAACTTTTTTTTCTATAGTGATAAAATATTTTGCCTTTTTCCAATGCACGCAGCAAGGTACCTTTTCCCTCAATGTAACAGTCTTTTTTTTTTTAAACACAAGTTAAACTATTTTATTGCATCTTTGCTGTTGACAATTCACTGAATCTACAGCTTCAATTAAGTATGTCTGTATGTTAGTTATTAAATATTAAGGGAAGATATTCAACAAGGAATAAAGAGTTAGGTACTTTCATACATTTATACATTTTCACTTAGTCAATTATGATAAATGTCTTTACTTGTTAATATGCTGCAGTCAGTAGAACACAGACGCAACGAGAGCCTATAGAACACTTGCACTTAGTATGAGATCACTCTGACATATGACAGCCTCTGTAGAGCTTGTTGGGGCCCTAACAAGTCCTAAAAAGGCCAACAGACGTCAGAACAATTTTGGATTAACATGCACTCTCCTCTTAGGAAAAAAGTGAGTGGCTGGTAGACAAGATGAGTAGGTTTCTATCTCTTAAGGTATACCAACCTTATGTTAGCAAAATTTGAACAAAATTTCATATAGCTTTAAATTCTCAATTTTCTTATAATTTTTTTTTATATATTTTCAGAATATATAAAGAAGAGCGAAAAGAGATAAGAGAAAGAAGAATCACCGAGTTGTTGAAGAGAAAAGAGATAAGAGAAAGAAGAATCACTGAGTTGTTGAAGAGAAAAGATGAACAGATTGTAGGTTCATTAAGTTTCTGTTCAGCTTCTGTCATGCAATTCACTATTTATGATCATGAAAAATTAATACTAATTTCTAAAAAGAGCTAACCACTTGTAAATCTCCATATGGGAAATCTTTGATGCGCAGAATTGTATGATGTAATAACGTACTATTAAACACAATGTCTTCATTTATTTTGCAAGCTGCACTTTTAATACACAAATAAATTGATCAGTTGTATGGATTTTCAATAATACATGAAAGCATACTTTTCTGTTTGATATCAAATTTTTAAGAGAAGCTGAAGCTTTTAGACCATATAATTTTATTGCATTCATCTGAAAAATAAGAAGGAATGAGGGATATACATCAATGATACAGCAATCTGCCAACACACTTACAGTTAGATAAATACAGATAAATGGATGACCAAACAGTCTTAAAAGATGAACAAGCTCCTATGCATTGAATGGCAAAATGACAGAAGATTAAGTTAAAATCATTGAAAGAAAATCAAACCAGAAAAATCCGTTTAATCTAAATGAAAAACCGCATAAAAGAAAGCCATCGTACAGTACTTGTAATTGCTGATTGTGCTCTATAGTATCAGCCAAAGTACTTCAAAATAGATTTCATGTAGCAATGGCGTAAATTTAGATATAATGTAGTGCAAAAATTTTTGAATGCTAAAAAGATGAAAATTGAAAATTTGTGTTAATAGGAAAATGAGTACCAGCATTAAACAAAATTACAAGATTTCAAAATTTAACTGCAATACTATAGATAAAACCTTTATCAAAAAGCTTATAGTCAATGGAAAGATCTTAAATTCGTTTGATCTGTTGTTGGAATTTCCATATATAACTTTGTGGGAAATACCCTTTTTAATTTAAATATTTAATTTCTTTAAGTGGAATCAAACTTCAAAAGCAAGTGTCTATATTCATAGTAGATTTTTTAATAAAATAAAATGTTTGACCAGTATGTTATATAGGAATCCTTGACAGTTGTAGATATTAAACCAAACTGTCAATTGTAACGGGATTAGTATAAAATAAAAAAATAAAACACTCTTCATGCTCATAATTATTTTTGCTAGAAGTATTCCTCTATCGTGTACAGAACCTTGTCAAAGCTTCTGTACACTATATCTGATGTACTCTATATTACTGTAGTTTGTGTGTTTACAGTATATAAATAAATAAAACAGATCCTATATAGCATCACAAATAGAATTGCGACTTATTTTTTGTGTCTTTCGACAGTATACCAATGATGTTTCCTTGTTAGTTGTAATGACATGTTGTTCTAATCCATCATGTTTTTTGTAGGTCAGGCATGTAGCAGACAATTTACAGATATATAATAAATGTAGGTATTTAGATCACATTCCAATATTACCATGTTATACTCCCATGTTTAATGTTTTTAAAAACCATTAATATCATAAAATTGTCATAAAATGGAATTTTGAAGATATATTTACAAGGAAAAAGTTTAAACCTTATAATGTTGTAAAGGGGGATTGGTATGCAATTAAAATTTAGATTGACCTTAAATTGGAAATGTGTAACTGAGCAACAGGGAAAACAAATTAAAAATTGTGTTTGTTTTGGGGATATTGAATTTGGTGCTTGTGCATGGCCCTTAGAATAGAAAAACATAATTCCATTTATGTACTATTTGATGCTACTCTGAAAGCATGGGGCACTAAAAGTAATAGTAAATACTGGTTGGGTTGGAGTCAGTATAATGTGTCCATGTAGGTTGATAGACCATTCTGAGGCCTGTTATCTTGTGAACAAGATATTTAAAAATCTATATGAGTGTTTTGGTTTAGTACAAAGCATGGTTCATATCAGTATCATTCTAACATGTTCTCTCATCCTAAATATACATGTAATAATGGCAGCTAGATTTTAACCAGCCATCCATCTCACAATTTGTATACTATACAATAATAGCCTTTGTATGAGGTTGATACGAGGTTATATCGACCTAAGAGAAGCATATTGACTGAGGATGAAGTACTAGGTCGATATGCTTCTCTAGGTTGATATAACATCGTATTGACCTCAACCAAAGGCTACAATTGTTATATTATTAATCAACAACTGTAGCATGAACACATACTAAAATTGGGGATTTCTAAAATGTATTTTAAGAAACATGCTGTATGCCCTGTGCAATATGCTGATTTTGACCTATGAAAAGCTAAACACAACAGTATTGGCATGCAAACTGAGTAAATACAAATGTACATCTGATCAAGTTTTAACGAATCACAAATCCTTAAAAATATTTGATTAATAATTACATTGTATTCATTTGTCAGTAAAGCTATGTATGCAAAAGTTTATACAATATTGGTCAGAAATGACTGGCAATGGGATATATTGTTCAAAAATTGTTTTAATTAAGTTTACCAATAGTCTACACCAACATTGACCAAAGCCTTATAATAACCTAACCGGAAAGTATAATTACAGATTTTAAAATTGTGTTTACAAATTTGATGCACATTTTAATAGATAGCATAGAGCAAGTGAATTAAGTCAAAGAAACCTGCTTACATATATAACTATAAATGAAATTGACTAATTGATTGATTGGTGTATGCTTAAAGTCCATTGACAAATATTTCATGAATACATATAATGATTTTTATCTGGGACATATTTGATTTTCAGTGAGTTTACTTTTATTTACTTACTGGTTATAAAAAATGTTTAATTTGATCAAGACACATCTGGAAATTTGTTACTGTTTAAGGTAGTACAGTATTCCTCTACCACTTTGGATTGTAAAATCGGAACACAATCAGTCTAGATTTTATATTAAATATGGAAATTTAGAGGCAGAAATGCAATTCCATTATAATTTTTTTTTCATTTAAATGTAGAAAATTCTGTGATTTATCACATTATTACTGTTGTTTTAATGATACTGAAAATTCTATTTATTTAACTTAGCAATATAAGGGGAGATAACTCTAGATAATTTATTTTTTTTAAGAAAAGCTCTGTAAATTTGCCTAGTTTGTTTTGTAGCAAGAATACAAGTCCTTTGACCCGCCTTTTATATTTAGTTTCTTAAAGCATATTCGGATATTTTAGTTTAAATTCTATCGTTTATGTTTCCATCTATTAACAGAAAAGTGTTTTTTCCATGTAAACCTGAAGCTTGAAAAATAGCTTCATAACCCACACTTTTTAATATATTTTTGAATAAAAGCATGATGTAAATTACTCTTTGGCAAAGACTGAGAAAATTCTATCATTTTTGATTTAGACCTTACCTAAACCTATTTTGGTAGTGTTCATCATAAGTTTAGAGAAAGGCTCAAAGAAAAGAAAACTGAACAATAACAAAAGTCAGTACAACTTGTTAGAAATAGAGGCACAAAAAGATTATTAGATTGAGTGTTACGGTTTAAGATATTAAGGAAAATGTAAATTAAAATGGTCTTCCAATTGATATTTTATAGTGTGTCTTTCTATGTTGTGATGTTGTACTATTGTTTCAGAAAAAGGGAGAAGGTTTGGTACCATTAAAACGTTTAATCCCGCTGCAAATGTTTGCACCTGTCCTAAGTCAGGAATCTGATGTACAGTAGTTGTCGTCTGTTTATGTAGTTCATACGTGTTTCTCGTTTCTCGTTTTTATATAGATTAGACTGTTGGTTTTCCCGTTTGAATGGTTTTACACTAGTAATTTTGGGGCCCTTTATAGCTTGCTGTTCGGTGTGAGCCAATGCTCCGTGTTGAAGGCCGTACCTTGACCTATAATGGTTTACTTTATAAATTGTTACTTGGATGGAGAGTTGTCTCATTGGCACTCATACCACATCTTCCTATATCTATGAACTGTAAGATGATAAGAATTATCCACCATGTGTTCATCATTTTATGAATTGAGTTACTCCCCTTTCACCATGTTTATTTGAAAATAATTTTTGAAATGAATAAAAGATTCTCTGTTTTCGTTTTGTATTTCAACATTTGCCTTGAAGGTAGAATCACAAAAAAAAAAAGAAGAAAAAAATGTTTGATAATAATTAATAAAAAAGTGACATTGCTATGTTTGAATAAAGATGGAATTATAAATGAACTATATGGAATAAAGAACAAAGTGATTAAGTCAAGTGTCCTGTGATGGTTAAGGATATATATTCTCAGTTTCATAGTTCATGTTGTTTTTATCTGGTTAGCTTTCATTATACTATGCTTTGTTTCCCCTATGCTTAGACTCACATACACCCAAAATGATAAATAAAAAGTTCTATTGCTTAGCAAAATTTGAGGAGAGGGGGAGGTAGTCCAACTTTTTATAAAATTAAAATCTGGTGGTAGAAATTGTCCAAATTTATAAATGCATCTGGCATAATTTTCATTTAAGACTGTTTGATAGAAAATATGTTGATACATGGCAAAATATATGAAATTCTAGAAATGTTCAATGTATATTATACATTGATATTTTTACTACAGATATATGGTGTAAGGGAGATAATCCAACTTTTATTGCAGTGTATCACAAAAAAAAAATTCATTGAATTTTTTTCATTCTTCTAAGTTCAAATACTGAGCATTTGTAAGCCAGTGAAAAAATCATTTGCCATGTGCAAGTTTGTCTGTGCTCCTAGAAGTGTAATGACACAATACAGTATAATATTATATAAAAAAGAAGAAGCCTGTTTTGTGAATCAACTTCTGCACTTTTCAACCTGGAATGTTTGTGTATAAATTTAGAATGTGCACTTATTTTAGATGCACATTTGCATAATTACAAAGATTTTCTGGTGGTGAAACATTTAATTGATAGCAGCATTCTCATAGCAACATTCTCAAAGGAAAATACCAGTTTTGCATAATCAATTCCTCCTACAATTTCCAACCTGGAGCCTTCTTACTGTTTGAAACATTTTGTTTACTAAACTCATCTCACAGTTTTAAATCCAATGCCTTAAAATTTCCTTGACATATTTGTCTCAGGTGGTCAAACTAGGTCAATTTTTGGGGAAATTTTCATAGAGGATACTTGTTTTGTGAAACACTTATAGTTGCTTATGTTAAGTTTTCAAACTTTCTAAAATGTTTATTTATACATTAAAAATTCTCACCTCTCTATGTGTGCACTTTTGGATAAATCTTGCATATTTTCCAGATGATGAAACATCTTGTAAATTCTTGTCTTTTAGCAAAGATCTCCTTGGATATTTCCTAAATTTTTGTATTTGTAGAAATCAGTCAATATCATCTTTCCTTACTAGCATTTAAATACATATAGATGCTACTATTTTTAAAAATATGGCCTTTTAAATTTCAAATCATGAATATTGCAACTAGGCCATTTGAGTCTGTGACCACATTGCTGTAAGAAATTTTAAGTGTCAATCAACTGTCTAATATATAAAAATGATAACAGGAGTTATGAAAAATATCTTTACAATACAACTGACCTACCAACACCTAACTCTTCTCTGAAAAAACAAACTACCAACACCCAACTCTCCTCTGAAAAAACAAACTACAAACACCCAACTCTCCTCTGAAAAAACAAACTACAAACACCTAACTCTCCTCTGAAAAAACAAACTACCAACACCTAACTCTCCTCTGAAAAAACAAACTACAAACACCTAACTCTCCTCTGAAAAAACAAACTACAAACACCTAACTCTCCTCTGAAAAAAACAAACTACCAACACCTAACTCTCCTCTGAAAAAACAAACTACAAACACCTAACTCTCCTCTGAAAAAAACAAACTACCAACACCTAACTCTCCTCTGAAAAAACAAACTACAAACACCTAACTCTCCTCTGAAAAAAACAAACTACCAACACCTAACTCTCCTCTGAAAAAACAAACTACAAACACCTAACTCTCCTCTGAAAAAAACAAACTACCAACACCTAACTCTCCTCTGAAAAAACAAACTACAAACACCTAACTCTCCTCTGAAAAAAACAAACTACCAACACCTAACTCTCCTCTCTGAAAAAACAAACTACCAACACCTAACTCTTCTCTGAAAAAACAAACACTACCAACACCTAACTCTCCTCTGAAAAAAACAAACTACCAACACCTAACTCTCCTCTCTGAAAAAACAAACTACCAACACCTAACTCTCCTCTGAAAAAAACAAACTACCAACACCTTACTCTCCTCTGAAAAAACAAACTACCAACACCTAACTCTCCTCTGAAAAAAACAAACTACCAACACCTTACTCTCCTCTGAAAAAACAAACTACCAACACCTTACTATACTCTGAAAAAACAAACTACAAACACCTAACTCTCCTCTGAAAAAACAAAACTACATACACCTTACTCTCCTCTGAAAAAACAAACTACCAACACCTAACTCTCCTCTGAAAAAACAAACTACCAACACCTAACTCTCCTCTGAAAAAACAAACTACCAACACCTAACTCTCCTCTGAAAAAAACAAACTACCAACACCTAACTCTCCTCTGAAAAAAAAACCCAAACAACACATGCTCCAACAACCTGACTTTGTATGACACAAAATATGGTGTGGTTAAACCAGATTTACCAGCACACAAGTACAGTATTAGACATGCATTCACAGCTGACCAGCACACAAGTACAGTATTAGACATGCATTCACAGCTGACCAGCACACAAGTACAGTATTAGACATGCATTCACAGCTGACCAGCACACAAGTACAGTACTAGACATGCATTCACAGCTGACCAGCACACAAGTACAGTACTAGACATGCATTTACAGCTGACCAGCACACAAGTACAGTACTAGACATGCATTCACAGCTGACCAGCACACAAGTACAGTACTAGACATGCATTCACAGCTGACCAGCACACAAGTACAGTACTAGACATGCATTCACAGCTGACCAGTACACAAGTACAGTACTAAACATGCATTCACAGCTGACCAGCACAATAGTACAGTACTAGACATGCATTCACAGCTGATTGGCTTGATAATCTTTGCTTTGTCTTTTCCAAGTTCTTCCACAAATGGTGTTGATGATTCCCCAAGATTGTTGGGGTTTTGTTGTGATAAAAGTCAGATTTATTTTCATGCTGCACTCAATGGTATTTGTAGATACACCTTCCTAGGCTTCATCAATAATTGTTTTACAAATTCTTTTGTGGGACCAAGTAGGAAAAAATAAGAAGTAAGATTTCACCAGTTTTCATCAGTTATTTTTACAATTCATTGATTAAACCCATATTTGAAGACATGTAGCAGTAATTGATGAATATCAAGCAGTGTCAAATATGACAGGAATGACCACTTTGACCTTAATGTAAGGTGTTGACTCTTGTTTTTTTATTGTAAACATCCCAGTGTCTGTCAAGATGAAGAACAGCAATAAAAGCTGATTGCTGATACATTAATTATCTTGTTTCCATGGACATTTTTTTTTGACTTTTTTGCTAACCTATATTTCATATTTTCCAATGTTACTTTGAGAAATTGAAAGTCATCAGTTATTTTATTTGATGATTCTTAATAGTACGGGAATTTCTTAATGGGCACCATAAAGTTACAGAATGCATCTTTATATTTTCCTTGTTTTGGCATTGCGCCAACTTCTATAAGGATATATTTACCTCACATGTGTTTATATTAAGATTTTATCTAGTGTTGTCAACCAGTCACAGAGAAAAGACATTACTAGTATTTAAAATAAATATCATAATGCTTGATTTAGACAGTCCTTTTTGAATTTCCATTGAAAAATATAAACTCCATAGTCCATATATATAATCCTCAATGTAATAAGTTTAAAACCAATTACGGTAAATTTTACATTAAACTTGCTCCAGGGAAACAACTCAAAATAGGAACTGATGTATTTTTCATCAAGAAACTGACATTCCCCATCATTTAGGTGGAATGTCTCCTTTCAAAGTACTATTGTTTTACCTTTCAACCTGGCAATTGTTACTTCAAATAAAGCTGAAACAGAGGGGTCCTAAAGTCTGTAACTTAATATGATAATGATATCAAACAAATACATTTTTTTTACAGAAAGGTATTATGAATTATCAGTTGTTTGTGCCAGTATAAGGTATATATGTTAGACGATCAATGCAAACAAGCAAATCAAACTACTTATGTGCATTGAGGTAGGGGAGGTAATGATTGCTTTCATTTTGAATTGAGTTACCTCCCCTTGTCCATGAAGGAAAAAAAAAAATTTCAAATGAATAATTTTTGATAAAATTTTTTTTTATCACAACTATTATATTCGTAAATTAAATATCAGAGTATATATTATTAATGAGATGCTTGACATAGACATAGGTAGGATTTAAAGAATGTTCACCTCACGGCCCTGTGATATGTGTACTAACAAATACAGGTAGAGAGTACATGTAGCTAACCCGCCAGTGATTATTGGTATGTTATTGTACTTCTGTAATCTTTACCCAAGAGACTCATACTGTGTTCAGTAGCTGATATTTTACCCGAATTACTGATTATATGTTTTTCTTATTGATTGACATGTTTTGTAGATCCAAAATTTACTCCTTTTAATCCTTATCATAATAATGACATGTCATAATTCATAATTGATGTTGTTTGGTCAAACACTGTGACATTGATAAACAACAGGTCATACATGATATCATCAGGTCAATTAGGTTTTGACATCACAAAGCCATGATACATATAGATTTTACTGCAGCATCTGAAAGTATAGAACATTTCTTTTCTTTAGACCATCTATTTTCAGCTGTTATGCTTTCCAAGTGTTTTACAAGCTTTGGAATTTTTGGGGACATTGCACAGTTTATAACATTGCTGTATGAAAAATATATAAGAAGTACAGCAAATGCAAAGAATATACTCATACAAAATCAACTGAAATATTATGCCCTAGAAAAATGGTTGTATGGTTAACCAAAAGATTTGGAGTAATACCTGCGATCACAATGACGTCACACTTTGACAGAATGATAACGGCACTTTGAATAGAGATAAATGGTCAATATATTTATCAGGGACCCTACAGAAGTGAAGTGTTACTAGACCACTTATGTCATTTCCTGAATGGGTATTAACACCATTTGTGGTCCAGTTTGATTATTTAATTCCTGTGGAGTTGCGAATTTGCTGAAGAATTATTTGATAAAAATGGATAGGTTTTCATCATGTTCGTGTTTATTTTGTAGATTCCTTTCAAAGGTCAGAAATTTAAAGAGATCTTTTTTATAGATAACTGTTAAAAATTTTTCCAAATAATCTCAACAAATTTGAATACATGTATATATGCTACTAGATAGTGTCCCATGCAGATATTTTAAGGACACTTTTGATAGATATTTCTGAACATAAAGTACTGCAACATCATCTATTGAGATGGGTTAAGTAGTGGTTGATAAAACATGAACGTCATAGGGCCCGTGTTTAGGTATTATAATGATGCGACTTTGAGGCTTGAATTGATAGACTTTACATATAACTTATCTGTGGCAAAAAACCTGCAATAAGTCAAATGTTTATAGATCGCGATACAACAGTATAAAACTAAGGCAAACAAAACTATTACATAATTATGTGTTAAATAGAACACATGACTCGTTGTTTATATTTTATGGATTGTTAACTATAAATTGTACCCAGTAACATCCAGAACTTTAAATTATCAGTTAAAATTAAATAAATCATGATAGAAATGAGAAAATTCAAATTTCCAGATCTTGCAAAGATTTCTAAGTTATTAAATAGAAATAGAAAATTTCTTGTATTTTAGGATTTAATCCAAAATTTAAGGTATTTCAAATCTAACTTGTTTAAGACTAAAGAATCAAGTTTCTGTTTTTCAGTGGCATAGTTTGTAACTGTTTAAAAGTGGAGTTGTCTCTCTTGCATCATGATTCTTGGGTGTCGTAGTTGTGACATAGTTTAAAGTTGTTAAAAAGATAAATGAAATTGAATAATGAAAATTGAGATAAGGGAGAGGAAACTTAGCAGAAATTATCAAAACTAAAGATATTATTCCATTTTCCCATCATAAAAGCATTAAATTCTGAATATCATATTAAAAATCTTGTATCATTTTGTAGTTTTCATCAGCTTTAAATATGTACCTGATAAAATCTAAACTTTAGCATGTGGATTTTGACGGACATGCTTTCATCGAGAATGGCATGTTCACATGTAAATGCATCAAGTGAACCCATGTCTGCAGTTTTCACTTCATTGATATGTCTGTAAGCAGGACATTAAAGTGTTGTCATGCTGATGCTGTGGGAATGTTGAAGAAATCTAATCTGTGATTAAATTTTAATGAAATATAGGTAGAGATAGCTTACCAAATGTTTCTATCATTTGAGAACTGTCACGCTTGTTTACAAAATGTGATGGAATAATTGACTTTATTCACTTTTTTAACATTGAGATTGACATGAAATTTCTATAGAACTAGAATGTCTTTAGCAATGCTGTCAAGCCTTGTCTCTGCAATCTTTACACAGCAGGTATATAAAGCACCATTTTTTAATGGTCATTTGTAATAACATCTCTTATTTTATAATGGCAAATATCATTAAGCTCAAAATAATTTCTAATTACTTAGTAATGCTGTCAGTTGCAATTACTAGAATTAAAAAAACTCTTGCAATCTGCTACATCAAAAAATGAAACTTTTTATGTATAGTCATTTTTTGTTAAGGATACCAAGTAGCCCTTTAACCATTATGGAAAATATCCTTTAGATAGAAGACAGGTTTTTCCACAGTTCTATGTCTAGTGATTGCAGCAATTTTAAAGGACATGCAAAATGTAAAAAAATGCAAAAAGCTCTTCCAGTGCAATTTGTATTCATTTACAGAAGTAGTAATTAAAATCTGAAGGTTACCATATGACATTTTTCATTCAAGTAGATTTAAGATAATTTGATATTACCTCCCCCTTCAGCCTGTCACAAACATTCAATAATTAGCAAAACTGATATTCACAATAGCAGCTGACATCTTATAAAAATTAACTAGCTTGTCATGTTAACCTTTACAACATTTCTAGTGGTGAAGTGGTAAAAATCTGCAGCAATTAAAATTAACTTACCTTTCTTCAATAAAAATTTAATTTGCAGTCAAAAATTTGTTGAGTACTCAATTTTCATAACAGCATCAAATTAATAAGATACTTAAAAAGTTTTATTACATTAAACAAATACTTAAATGGTTCATAAGTTTGCATTAGGAAAACTTTCAATGTACACAAAAAAATTTAAAAACCACAAAACAAGAGTCATTATGTTAAATTCATTATATAATCCTTTCAAAATTTTTGAAAGCTTTCACATGGTTGTGAATTCTGTTGAAATGTATTGTAGCATATTTATCTGAAGCCAAGATTGTCTCAAGAAAATGGATTAAAAAGTCTGATATCACGTTAGAAATAAACAGAAATTGAGTGAATATGTCTAATCCCCACACAGGATGAAAAACTCCCCCTTCTCAACTGCTGTAATTTTAATTGAAAGCTTATTTTTTTCAGACAAAAGTTAACCAGCAGTGAATATCCAATTGGATAACTTTTATTTAGATACACAATTAATTATAATCCAAACTATTGCAAGCTTTATAGTTAAAATATGATTAATAAGTCCACATGTTTTCCACGTATTCTCTATTTTGTGGTTTATTAGGTCTATTTGATTTTCACATTAAATTGAGATAAAGGTCATAACTCACACAAACAGGTCTGCTATAAATGTTTACAATCTGTCTCTGCTCTTTCTTTGCTCTCATTTTGGGTGCCATGATTGGCAAACACAGTATTTGTTGTTATTGTTGTAATAATCAATGCAGTAAACTTTCTAGATGTAATGGCTAATTTAGTAAATATTTTAGATGTAATGGCCAGTTCAGTAAACATCCTAGATGTAATGGTCAGTTCAGAAAACATCCTAGATCTAATGGTCAGTTCAGTAAACAAATTTAGATGTTGTGATCAATGCAGTTATCATATCAAACGTAATGACCAATGCAGTAAACATTCTTGTTGTAATGGCCAATTTAGTAAGCATTCTAGATGTAATGGCCAGTGAAGTTAACATTCTAGATGTAACGTCCAATGTAGTAAGCATTCTAGTTGTAACGTCCAATGTGTAAGCATTCTAGATGTAATGACCAATGTAACAAGCATTCTAGTTGTAACGTCCAATGTAGTAAGCATTCTAGATGTAATGGCCAGTGAAGTTAACATTCTAAATGTAATGACCAATGCAGTAAGCATTCTAGATGTAATGACCAATGAAGTAAGCATTTTAGATGTAATGACCAATGTAACAAGCATTCTAGATGTAACGGTCAATGTAACAAGCATTCTAGATGTAAAGGCCAATGTAGTAAACATTCTAGATGTAATGACCAGTGTAGTAAGCTTTCTACATGTAACAGCCAATGTAGAAAACATTCTAGATGTAATGGCCAGTGTAGTAAGCATTCTACATGTAACAGCCAATGTAGAAAACATTCTAGATGTAATGGCCAGTGTAGTAAGAATTCTACATGTAACAGCCAATGTAGAAAACATTCTAGATGTAATGGCCAGTGTAGTAAGCATTCTACATGTAACAGCCAATGTAGAAAACATTCTAGAAGTAATGGCCAGTGTAGTAAGCATTCTACATGTAAAAGCCAATGTAGAAAACATTCTAGATGTAATGGCCAGTGTAGTAAGAATTCTACATGTAACAGCCAATGTAGAAAACATTCTAGATGTAATGGCCAGTGTAGTAAGCATTCTACATGTAATGGCCAATGTAGTAAGCATTCTAGATGTAAGGGCCAGTGTAGTAAGCATTCTATATATAATGGCCAATGTAGAAAACATTTTAGATGTAATGGCCAGAGTAGTAAGCATTCTACATGTAACCAGTGGCAGATACAGAAATTTTTATAAGAGGGGGCCTGCTGACTGCCTAAGAGGGGGCCCGCTCCAGTCACGCCTCAGTGATTCCCTATATAATCAACCAAATTTTTCCCACAAAAGGATACTTGATGTAATTATGTGCAATTTAAAGTTGGATTCTCACAGAGAGAGTGTTTCTTGCAAACTACAGACCTGATATATCACAATTCCTATTGCTACCTACAGATAGGCTTTTTCCATGAAATGAGTTTATGTCACCTCTTTAAACTTCAGCAATTTATCATATGATAGAAAAAAGCACACCACAACTGTCTCTGTTATAAGATAATAAATTGAACATAATTACACCAAAAAATCAAAATAAACACAATTTTTCATGTCAACTATTAAATATTTGCATAACAATTATAAAGTACATCTAAAAAAATCATGACAGTGCTGTCTGAGGACTAGCGATGACTAATGTAAAAGTTATGAAATTTTTGTATAATGTTGTTTTTTTTTAGTTAACAAATTTAACACAATGTATTAATATGCCAACTTTCCATAAAATTAGATTTAAACAAAGCAACCTGATTTTTTTCTGTTCATTAGTTTTTGGACACAGAAACATGAAGATTTCAGCAGGTCATACAAATGATTGAAGTTTCTTGAACTAATTGATTCTTCCTGAAGCCAGAAATGTATTACAACTTGTGTTAAATATAAGGCTTCCAAAAAGAAATAAAAGAATTATTGATATCTCTATCCTTATCAAGATCTTGTAGGTGGGCATGTTGCAGACCAATGTCTTTATTGTAATATGGAATTTTTTTGTTCTAACATTGATTTTTTTGTTTTTATATTATTTTGTTTGATTGTCCCATTATCAGAGAGGAAAACATGATTTTGAGAACCTTTTTCCTGTCTGCTAACTATAATAAAATCTGACAAACTGGCGACTACCATTAATTTGCTTCCTATTTTATCAGTTTCTGTTTCTGTTAATAAATGATAAACAACAGCCTGAATTTTTATTAACCTGCATCAAGTTGGTTTAGGTAAATCCAAACTAACAATGCTTTGACAAAATACTTAAATATTGATGTTGTCTGCAATGATATTATCCATAAAATTTATTATTCAATTAAATTAAAGTAAAAATTAATATAAATTTTGATAGGTTTATAATTTGCAATTACATAAGCTGTATCATATGAACTGTAATATTTCATATGTATTGTCTGTGCTTGGTAGGAAGAAATGAAATTCGATAGCGATGGCATTTTTTGTCTCTTTACCAGAGGTCTTATTTATGACACATAAAATGAGAATAGACATAAAAATGCATATTATAAATCTATTTAGCGGAAAGTATCTTTTATCCTATAGTACCTGAACAATAGATTCACCTACCACCTAAACAACACACCTAACTGACTAAAGGGTACAAAGTTAACTGCCATGCACTTAATATCACACATACAAAATATTAATTTCAACTATAATTTTAACATTTTCATATTTCACTTTTTTGTTAAGACATTTTAATACCGGATAAATCAAGGACTGAAAGGAATTTGAAGAGATTTATTTATTGTACCTGTACATTTTTCGGTATTCTCACTTCAGCAAGATTTATTATTTTTAATTGCAAATCAGAACTTGTAGAAATTTGTATTGATTAATGGACTTTATAAACTTTTATAGTTTAAATGGTGATTTTATTATGATGAAAGCTTTTGTTTCTTTACCACAAGATGGTGTATGATTTTGGAGGGTGTAACATTCAACAGTTTTGATTGACAGGAAAGAGCTACATATTTGTATTTTGAAATTGATTTTTCTAATTGATAAATTGCAGGTGTTTAGCTGGTAAATGAATCTAAATCACCCAATGGCAGTTATACATGCTTTGTGCACTTACTCCAACTTTTTTAAATAAAAAATTTAAATTAAATCTGTCTTCTGCATGAGTTATTTTAGATATAAAATATAAAAATTTTGAAAAAACCTATCTTCTGGTATGAGAATTTTTGAAAGGAATTTTATTATTTGTCTGAAAATAGTTCTGTGTTTTTGAATTTTTCTTGAATTTTTGGTTTTTTTTTCCAATTTGATTAAATCCTGTCTTGATTATAAGTTACTGCTTGAGAGGTTTTGGTCTGTGCCGTGGGATTGCTGTTTAGTTGACATAAACCCAATTTACCCTGTATTCAAACTTATCTGTACAGTGCTCATTGTTGAAGGCTGAAGAGTGAATCAGTGAAAATTGAAAGAAAATTTTGCACTATCACTGAGGCTTTTGACATCAATACAAAACTGACCGATTTTTAGTTTCAAATTTCTTATTCCATGTCAAATATTAATTTGATATCCCAACATCAGGTTCAATTTTATATCTAATATAAGCCTCACTGCTCGCATACCTTACCGATAATGATATGACAAATTATGATTTATGTCTAGAAACTTATTGTATTAGAAATGTTAATATATAATATTTCGATAAAAGATGCCAATTTTCTCCCAATTTCCATTCTACTGAAATAAAGATGGCCATCCCATCTATTATAATGTTACTGGTAACATCCTATCAACAAAAGAAACAATTATGCATGTGTACATATTGTTTACTTGTTATCCCGAGGTGACTACCCATCACTATGATACAATCTCCCCTCCCTAAACAAAAGATGATCCCCATGACAAAAGAAATATAGAATATGAATGAAGCCTTTTAACCTTTTTCGTAGGTAATTTTTAAAAAATGTCTAGATAAATATGCGTCTTTAAATTTCTTTTATAATTTATAGTATATATTTAATCTGAGGTCAAATGGTCTATTATGAATTACAAAACTTTAGAAAGGGAAAGAAAAGATGAAGATACCTGCACTTATTGTTAATAAATAATGAAATCTAACTCCTGTCAAACAAGTTAACCCCTGCATATAACAAAGTTGTATCAAATTTTATTTTGTAAATTTTCATAAATTCAGTAATTCAAAAGAAGGCATAGGACTATTGGAGACAAAATTATATATGACTTTATAAAATCTGTTGATTCAGTACTGAATTCACTGTCAAACAGTACAAGTTTTTTAATAAATCAACGCTGGATCGGGTTAATCAAGATGACACATGCAAGAAAAATCTTCAAGATACATGAAGGTTGACAGATTCTGATTTCTGATGTATTTTCACATGAACATATTTTGATAGCCAAATGTATTGCAATCTTGTGTACTTTTTCTTAAGATACATTTTTAAAAAATAACATTTTATGCATACTTAAATTCTACCCAGATAAAAAAGTAATTATGCTATATTTAGATCTCATGTCAAATGTTAATTGTTTATATGAATAAGATATGTGCAACTTTACCTCAATTAGACAATTAACAACATTAAGACACATAACCAAATGTTTTTGCTTTAGGTTATTTAGAGCTATTCTACTCAAGATTTCTCTTTGGTCTAAACTATGTACATTAATACTAGAAAAATGAACTGATGATTGTTGTATATTGCTTCTGATTATGTATCATATTTATTTGTTCAGCTAATCTGTACTTACCACTTTACACCTGGTTAAAAGCCATTTTCGTTATCATTAGGTTCTTTTATAGACCAGTATTTTGCTTTCCCTTTGAATGAATAAAAAGTGCTACCAGAGGCAATTCTTGACACTGATTGGTCACTTTTAAATGTCTTTTTTCCCTTGAAAAAAATATTTGGAAATTTTTTGGCCAAAGTTCTTCGAAGTTGTTCCAGTTGCTAAATAATAGCAAGAACTAAGACCTTTTTTTATTCACTATGCACTTGTATGATTGATGTATGCTTAAGTTTATCAGAAGTTTTTGTATAGTTGGGTTGCTGTCATATTCTGATTCCTGGTTTTCCAAGTCTTCTGTTATTCATACTAGAATGGCTTTACAAAATAAAAAAAAAAGCAAGGCTCAGGTGAGAACCATGCTGTTCTATTTAAACTTGTTCAGACAATGAAATAAACCTGTGAAAATACAAAACTGATTTTTCTCATTTATTTTTCAGAACAACCTAAGAAGACAAGTCATTGGAGGTCCATATTCTAATAAAGGATGCTGTCTGGGATGAAACACTGATAAAACATACTTTAGTCTGTTTGGGATCAGCTCATCAAAAGGTGCTTATTTTCAGATCCCTATTTTTAACAAAGATGTGCACTAAAAACTTGACTAACCCTCATAACACAACCCTCCAAACAGACGTTTTTAGATGAAATGTTTGCCCCTGCTTTTAATTGTTGTGTAATAAAGGAACAGTAAGATACATTTTACCCTTTCTAAGCAACATATGGAATGTTTCTTCGGTGGATTGAAATATTTCCAATAGTTAAAAGTTATATAGGTAAGATGCAAAAGAAGCCATGAAAAAAATGAGCTTTCTGATTTTTGTATGTTTTTCTTTAAATCAGAATATATATGCCTACAGTTTTAATGTAGCCCTTAAATTTCTAAATTATTAGTAACCAAAGTCAATTACAAAATCTTTAATAGGATCATGTTTGCGATGTCTCTAAGAAATATTCAAGAAGCTTTATGATTCTCTTCACATTAAAAGGCTTGAAAAGTCTTTCGTCAACTTGACGCACTCGTCATAACCTATTATTTAAAACTATTAGATCAATTGCTTTTGAAGAGTTAAAATAGTGCAGATTGTAAAATGAAGCTTGAAAAATGTTAAAAAACAATGTACTCCATAACTTTCTGACTATATAATATGCTTAGACTTGATAGACATAAATTTTTTAAATGAATTTAATTTCTTTTATAAAATATTATGATTCCTTTAGAAAAATTGAAACTTTACACCCCATTTTTGTTTTGGTTTTGAAAACAAATATTTTTGAAGTTTCCTTTTACAGCAGTTTCATTCATTTGACAGAATGAGACAATTCTAATTAATGACAAGAATCTTTTTCACCGATTTAGGTGCACTCTAATACCTGGCACTAGTTATAATAGGATACATTAATCTGTTTCACGAATATATCATCAGAAATTCTAGAGCATTGCATTTACATAACTTATATAGAGCAGTTAAGTTATGTTCATCTAATATATTTATGAAGCAATGCTGCAGAGTAAAAAAATGTATTTTTTTGGGGGGTAAATGCTAATGTTATTATTTGACTTTGTAAAAGAGAAAAAAAAATGGTGCAGTTTTATATTTGCAAACATCAATCTGTTATTTTCAATGTCCTGAGCTGGAGCAGATTTTAATATGTGTGTAGAATAGATAGTAAGTTTGTTGTTTTATTTACTAAAATGGACCAAAATTACTCAGTAAGTGGTGATGACTGTTTGGAAATAAATTATTGTTTGCTGTAATGATTTTATAGGTTTTCATTTGATATAAAATTGAGAATGGAAATGGGGAATGTGTCAAAGAGACAACAACCCGACCAAAGAGCAGAAAACAGCCCAAGGCCATCAATATATATGTATATGTAGGATAATTCAGAATTAAATTTTCATTAATTTTAAGAATAATTTTGATAGTAAAATGTTGGGAAAACATTTAAGAGGCAGTAACCTGACAACACCATAGGAAAAAGGGTAGAAAGATACCAAGGGGGCAATAAAAAACAGAAAAACAAACAAACAGCTAAAAGAAAAAACATAAAAAAGACAAACAAAAGTTGACAAAACATTACACAGATAACAAAAATTTGAGCAACATGAAAACCAAAAACTGGAGATATAGCTGTTTTTCTGTTGAAAAAGCACCTGTTAATTTAATGATATTTTAATATAGAGAACTTCCCTATTCATACAAAATGCATATTGTTATCACAAATAGGTAGATATTAATTTCACCCTTAAAGAAAGTGTAGGTATTATTTTCTCCTCCTTCTTTCAGGAAGTTTTATTTTTAGCAGTTTATAGACTTGATACGATGTTTTACATGAATGTTTTCTCACAAATGTACAGAAGTAACAAAATCAGATGTTATATGTAAAAGTCGGGTGATTAGGGGACAGTTTTTTTATGTAATCTAAGACGACCCAAGATGACACCAATGAAATGAACACCCTGTGAATATCTCAATATAAATCATAACAAATATATTTACCTACAGAGAAGGATACCTAACCTTAGAGATTTCATATTTAATATTATGAGTAATCGCCCATTCCATCTCTACAATTCAGAAGATGTATGTTTCCCTTTTACATTAGATCCAGGTTAATAGGTATTTGTACTTCACACTCAACTAAAAATTTAAACACTTTTACATTTTTAACAAAAGGGGTTTCTACAATTTGCATAAATTTACCTACTTGTGAACTATTTTAAAGAAGTATTTCCTATTTTTGGGTTTTATTTTAAGCGCATTAATTAAAATATTTTTCCTTTTCTGAAGACCAAAGAGCCTTTGTCATTAATAAAAAACAGGAAGTTCTCTGAAACTTCTAATTAAGTTATAAATCAGCAATCAATTTTTATCTTTAAAGCAGATGCATTTTTTACACTAGAAGTGACTGAATATAAAACTATCATAGTAACATATATAAAGATGAACCTCAATTAAAGACATATATAAAGTCGACCTCAGTTATAAAGACAATAAAAGGAGAGGAATTCTTATGGTATATTTACTACAATCAGACAAATACTGATTGAAAATGAATTAAAACTACACACTGACATATATAAACACGAACCTCAAAGACAATAAAATCATCCGTGCAGATCATATTTTAAAGTTACACAACACAAAGCTGATAAAAAAATTTCTTATGTAAATTGTTGACAAAAGTGTTTGTATCTATATTAGTAATAACATCTAAATTACAACCTTAGAAATCATATAACTAGTAAATAGCCACTGGCTTTACATACGATTAATTATATACAAGATTACAATGTTGATATCCTCATCCTTCAAAGGGACACCACCATGTTTATGATTCATTTGGTTCATCTCCTGGTACCAGTAAATGCTGGTGCAAAACATTTCCTGACCATAAAATAGGAACATAATCTTGCACTTCATTACCTACGACATATATGTCATCTAATTGACGTGTTGACAGTTGAAAGTGTCAACGGAGCATTCCATGTCTCACATGAAATTTATAAGGTGTTTCACAACAAATTTAAATTTCAGTGCATCTTATATTTCCTCCATGTAAGCTTCCTGTAAGAAAAGTACATGCAGTAAGAATCATAAGTACTTGCAGAGTTTTCCAAGTTTAATTCGTCACATTTGACCTTTTGAACTTTAAGTTTTGTCTGTTCCTTGAGGTTCAGTATACTTGTGTTCACTATTAAGAGTCTATAATTGTTATCATGCACAAAACTATTGGTATATAGAAATGGTAACACAAATTATTTTAAACTATAACTTCATCTGAAAGATTATTTAATTTAAAAACTTATTTTAAAATCATTGACGTCAGTATCATACATCCAGGATATGTTGAAGACCTTTGCATGTCGATTTCATCATATTTTATATTAACATGACATTTATTAATTTGTATGTGTAAATAAAAACAGAATATTCCCATGCAAAGTTTTATTAATATCAAAAGTTTTCATCTTGTCCAAAACAGATTGAATCGATCAAATATTAGTGTGTACAATTTGACTAGATTTTTACATTGGGATGACAATATTATAACGTATATAACATTTGCTACATTTCTTCTCGGTTGGTCACACTTCTAATGAGCTTATCCATCACTCAGTCACGATTATTTCTGATACTTTACATATTTTTGTAAATCATCATAAAAAACACATGAAATCAAATAATATGAGAAAAATTTTAATCAACTTGAGTTTTTTTTATTTCATACTGAGCGCTCCAGATGTAGGTTTTATATTATTTTGATAAAAATGTTGAATAGAATTGATACAAGTGCATGCATGCAGGTCTTGTGCAGAATACTTGTGTTAAGTAGAAAATAAAAAAAAAAAAAAAAAACACCATTGACCTTCTACGTATACCTATAAATCAACCTGTCAATTATTTATGTTGGCTTTGTTGAATAGTAATTAAAATGTTTTCTCATTAATTAAATGGTTATAAACATAAAACATTTGGTCCTTGAATGAGTAAGAAAATCAAAAGTATATTCTTCTTTTAGACAACACTAGTTTAGGATTCCATTTCTTGAAGAAAAAGAAACATACAATAATTAGAGGCATTCAAGAACAATAATGATTTTTATACCACTGCACATCAAATATCAACATTTATGAACAATACTGCTAAATGTACAAATAAGGGTAGATAATCAAAGAGTTGTATTCCCTAGTTAGCCTACAAAATAAATGGTGAGAGAGAGAAAAAAAAAGTATATTTGTTTGTTTAGATGAGCAAATACATTTCAGTTTTCTCAGGTAACATGTAATTTTAGTTATGCAACAAAATATGTCTGAAGTCCTGTACGTTTAGAGCATATACTAAGTTAATCAGTCATTTTGTCAACTAAGATATTTGTGTGAAATTCCTGAGTCTAAGTCATCCTAATTACTTAGTCATTTAGATGAACATTTTAGCTATATAAGTTTTAACTGACATATATTTTGGTAAAAAAAATGATTTAAGTACATTGTGAGTTTGTAAGAAATATGCCACACAAACAGATATTGGTGAGTACTAATAATATTTATTTTAGCATGTTCCGTCAAGTAACTACTTCTCTTGAGTTAGTGGAAACAAAGTAGAATTGCTTTTAAATGTCGTGTATAATTAATTATAATATAAATATGTGCAACTAATGCATCTTTAAATGAATATTACAAGTTTATATAAATTTAATGTGCATTATTAATTTAAGTCTAATTTAAACATGGATTCTTAAGAAGAAAAAAGTCAGCCCTCTGATAACAGACTGGGAAGAAAATATAGTGGCACTTCCAGCCTAAAGTTCATTTAGCTCAAACTAATCACAAATCTTTTCAATTTTATAATTTACTATTTAAATAGATGGCCTTAATTGAGGGTAACAATCTATATCCACAGATTGTCCCTGTCAAATTAGATCAAATTTCACATTCATTAAAAATTATTTGAATTAAATTTTAAGTATTGAATGGTTTTACCAATTTATTGATACTTTAGTTAAGTAAATATCTTATTTTTGAAGTGATTTGACAGTCAAGTTGTTTGGTTTGGTCTTAATTGTAATTCTTTGTGAAAAGTCAGGTGGGAGGGGGAATTATGTCCGTAAGTCTTGTTTCATCTTTTATCTACAAGGCACGCCCACAAATATTACAATTATAACATTTTGAATGTGATGTTTGAAATATTGGAGACATGAAGTCTTTCTTCTATAGAAATAATTTATAAAATTAGAGGAGAAACTAAAAGGTGTCTTTAGCTTCTTTTATGTCTGAATTTTGTATAATTATCTATATTACCCGAAAACGTTAAATATTAGATGCTTTACAAATTGCATCAATAAAAAAGATCAGGTTAAGCTTAGTGCATATCAGCTGAAAATTTTGACACAAGTCTTCAGAGATCTGGATCTTCCTGTCGCCAAACCCTTGAAACTGTAATAAAATTATAATTAATTTCTGACATAGAAATGCAAAAAAATGATTTAATTTATGTTCATTACACAAATAAGTAATTAAATTTACATTATGAAATATATTATATGTAAATGTTGTTTTATGAGTTAGGTTACTTTGGAAGTATTTATTTGATAAGCTTGGTATGACATGAAATCATTTAGTAATTGGCATGATAAAAAAGAAACATCTAAATTTATTACTGAAAAACAACATTTTTGAATATGATTGAGATATAATTAAGAGTCCTGAACTGATCTTTGTATTTCTAGGATTTTTTTTACCTTATGTAAAAATAGCAAGATAAAATCAAAGAATGACTAAGGTATCATGTAATTTTAGTTGTAAATCGCCAAAATATACCTTAAAGACTTGTAGAACATTTGTATGAGTTGTCAGTGTGACACTGTGTATCAAAGACTACATAGCTTGATTTTTATGCAAATTATAATAAGTATATCAGCCAATATTGAAGACTTTAAAGTAATTTTTAAGACTAGCAGGAATAAAAAGTGCTATTAAATTTGGTGATTTCTCAGAATAACTTGATAAAACAGACAAATTAGAATTATTTTCTATTGTTAACAACCTTATAATGCCCTCTAGGTGTCTTTTCTGGTTTTTAGTGTTACTGTCTTAACTGTGTATATTAGATCCTATGTTACTTATATTCATTTTTTATTAAATCAACAAAGGTTTAGTTTGTTCATGCAGGATTCATTTATTGGTGCCAACCATTTTCCTTAAGACATTAGCAACAGCCTTTCGTGATTAAGCCTAAATGCTGTATAGTACATTATTTAATACAACCATTTGCAATCAAAAGTTATAAGTAAAATTTCAATTTTTAAAATGTTAACAACTTTGCACCAAGAAAACATGTATATAAAAATTTACAATGCTCTAGGCATCAATATAATGATATTAGCAAGGGTGAATATTATTAAAATGTTTTTGTCCATGTTTTCTAAAGATTTAGATATGTTTGTTTGGACTTCACACCATGATTGTCCCCAGTCACATAAGAGGAGAGAAATTGAAATAAAATCTTGTTCAAATAATTATTGAAATTTTTAAGGTATTTCCGTTGAAAACTCAAATTGAGACTAAGCTAACAAGACAAGATACTAATATTTAAAAATTCCCATTAAAAAGACAACAATACATGATAATATTGAAAATACTTAAGTATAATACAATGCTGTGGCAAATTGTAATGCCATGTATTTTATATTTCTGACAGAATTTGGAACAAAGCAACAGGATGCAGAGATGATTAAAGTTATGATATTAAATTATCAAAACTCCATTTAGAACCTCTATTAACAAAGTGAAATCATTTATTTCTACATTTTTCTATTTAAATGTTTTCTCAATTCACAAGTAAACATTAATTTTTGTATTCTACAATAACATTTACTATCAATTCTGTACCTGTGCAACATAAAAACAGCTGACACTTGCGATTATTTGGCACCGCTCACCTAAGTAATTTGTCATTGAGTTATTGTGCAATCGTACCCTTACAGGTTTTCATTCATTGAAGGATTAAATCGTTCTACAGTTTGACAACTATCATTGATATTTCATATTGTTTTGGGTATTATATGGTATTAAAAAGATGAATGAATAGGTTTTCCTGATGGTTACCTGTTGTGTTTAATCTGCCATAGACATTTAGAGTAAAATTTTATGACGGATAAAGAGATAACCTAAAATCTATTCTAAAGTGTCCTCATTCAATTTTCATTGATATTTCAATGTTAATAGTAATATATGATAGTTTGGCTCAATTTAACTAGTATTTTGAGGGATTATTTGGTACCATTTATTTTAACTGTTTTGTTAAAGCACCATATATTGTAATAGTTAATAATACTACAGGGTGAATGGTGTTTAGCAGATTCAGTCTAAACTACACATTTTACCCTAACTCCACTTTTAAGGAAGCCTGTTTTTTATAGGTTAAGATGTGTTACAGTTTAGATTTGTTCTAGTTCTATATACAGGTCAGGGTAAACCAGGGAATATTGTTCAGGGATAGATATGGGTTAAGTGTCAGTTTTTCCTGTTTGTCCTTTGAAGAAAAAGAAGACTATATAATTTAGTTGAAATGCATGCTATGTATCTAAGAAAAAACATGAAGCATTTCTTTTGGTGATAAACTATTTTTGTAGTTTTATGACCTTTCATAAAGTGTACTTTTGTCAGCCTAAAGAGTAATACTTCAATAAATTCTAGAATTTTAACAAATATTGTGTGTGAAACTTATAGTGATGAAGAATAGAATCATAATGCATAACCACAAAAACTTCCTAGTAGGGGTTGTTTCAAATAACTGCTGTTTATAAACAGTGAAAATGCAAAATTTGATAAAGTCTGCAAAAACCACAGAAACTGACCAAGATGAAACTTGCATGCTTTAAATCAAGTTAAATGATGCTTTTCAAAAGGTAGTATGGAACACCTTGAATAAAGCCTATATGATACGTATAAACTTGTAAACTTTAATGTCGACTTAACCATAATGTTGGTGTATTGAGTTACAACAATGGAAGCGACGATTGCATGTGTAAGGTCCATCAACATTTCGTAAACGGTTAACTCAAAAATTTGACAGTAGTCGTAACAATAGGCCTGGCATTGGTTAGACCAATATTGTTTTCATTAATAACGGGATAAGAATTCTGTTTAATTAATGTCAGCCATTTCTATGATGCTGTTTTCCATGGATATGTAATGTACACTAGCGGCTGAGGATTGTATAGTTTAAATTTTTTATAAAGAAATGTCTCGTTGTACTCCCTGACTTAGTCTTAATGAGAATTTAAATGTAAATTAAATTGATCAGTAATTCTTCAATAGGTGCAAAGTATCATAGTATTTAATGAGAAATAACAGTTCAAAACAGTCTGTATATTGATAAGAGAAGTGAAGTAATACGGGTGGGGTACCAGATTATAACTAAGATAAACCAGCAGATTTTTTATCTTATTGATACAATGATCACACTTTCATGATTTAATATTGTAAATTTAATTATGTAATAAAATACTATTAAATTGGAAAAAAAAAGAAAACTTGGATTTTACAGTATAATGGAAATGATACATCTCAAATCTTGTAAGACATGAACAAGGGCCATAATTCCCTCAACTAAAACAAAATGCAAGATTTATCTGTAACTCATCAAGACACTATGTATAACATGCCAAAATTTTGGTATGAAGTCAAATTCTATTTATTAAGCAAGATATGTAAGTCAAATTCTATTTATTAAGCAAGATATAAATGAAACTTTCACTGAATTCTGTCATAGTAGATAAAACATTGAAGATTACAATGTAATTGTCTACCAATATTTTAGGGACAACACTTAGATAAATCATTAGAAATAAGGAGCGGAGTAGACTGTTGCAAAGGGAAGAGCACAATTTAGAAGAAAGTTTTCTTTTATATAAGAACAAAAACGCATATCTATTTCTATTTTTGTGTGTGGTTAAGACATGTTTTCTGTATAACTTATTTCTAGACTTTTTTCTCTTTATTTCAGGTCATGAATAACCTTGGATGATTACGAGAGAAAAGACCACCAGTTAAGAAAATCTACCGAAATCTATGTTGACCATTTGACAGTAAATATTATAATGTATGTAAGGGTGTATAAATAATTATTAATTTCAATTTCATAAAAAATGAAAAATTTAAAACCTATTTACCAAGACTAACATTGTTCAGTTCATTAACTTTATTTTTATGAATGAGTTACTGCATTGAGAAGAAAAGTGTAATATTCCCATAAAAGATTCAATCAGTATAATTAAGATTTAATTTCATTTGGATTTTTCTTATAACCACAGGTGTTCATTTTAAAAGGGTAGCAATTTTTCAGTTAGTTAAATTGTAAGGGTTGAACAATCATGAAAAAAATTCAATAAAATAATGGCCACCCCCTAACCTGTTATTAGGCATGGTGACCATTCTGATGAACCATAGTGAAAAAAAATTGTAAAAAAATGAAATGATGTGTGTGAATACCACACGTATATAGTGATTTAAAATTTGATTGTTATTATTTTTGTAACCACAATTGATGTCAGAACAGTATAACAGACTGTTTAGGGGGCCTTTAATAGAGCATGGGGTATCCCTGCTGCATCTAAGTAGAAATAAAAAGCTCACATAGGGTCCAGTTCATACCAGAACAGTATAGGCAGTTAAGAGGGCCTTTAATAGAGTATTGGGTATTCCTACTGGATCTAAGTAGGAATGAAAAGCTCACATAGGGTCAAGTTGATGTCAGAACAGTAGTGTAAATTGTTTAGGGGGGCCTTATCTAAGTAGGAATGAAAACCTCCCATAGGGTCCAGTTGATAGATATTAAGTACAGGTACAAAATTGAACCATTTATTAAGACAGTATTATAACCTGTAGTTTTCACAAATAATGTTTGATGAAAGTGTTTATCTTTTACCATTGTATGGAGAAGTAAATTTACTCTGATCGAAATGCACTATAATAAAAGAAACCCAGTTAAATTGGTAAAATATAATGTATTCTCTTTAGTAAATGAATTTTTATCCTAATATAAATTCTGGGGGTAGGATTTTTTTTTCTTAAAGGGTGTGACAAATACATGTATCCTGATAATGATACAATGATAATGTCCATAATCAGTCTCAAAGGTTTCCATAACTACCCCGAAAAAAATAAGACTCATATTCTGATAAGGCAAAAATTCAACTATAAAACAATTTATTTGAGGAATTGTTTATAAAAGAGACTACATGCACAAGCCCAGATGGTGTCACTGTACTTACTGACATATGGGTCCTCCAATATGGGTACTCATTCGTATCATAGGTCCATTTAGTCAAACCACTGGGTATCAATAGGAGGGTAACAGGGTGTTAAAAACCTAATCAACCATAAGAATACTGCATTAATCATTTGTTCACAAATTTGTCAACTCTCATGTTTGTAGCAGGTTTGTGTGGGATATGATCTTGTTCATCTGCCTTATCGATCAACCAAACTTTCTATTGGTTTTTTTAGTTTCACATTTTATGGCGGTTTTGTTACAATATTTTGACAAAATCAAAAGGAAAATTTTTTTTTTGTAAAATGATATTCTGACAAGATCTGACTTCTGTCAAATTTCTTTGATAAAAGTATCGACATCTTTAAACTTCAAAATTTTGATGGGGAAAACAAAAGGAGAAAGTAGACTTTCCCATGGGTAAATTATTATCAAGATTTACATATTTATATAATCTAAAATCATTAGTTCTAACATTTGCTTCTCAAGTATTTGGTTATATCTGAAATGAACAGGTCAACAAAAATTTGGAATATTTTCCAGTGCATTAAGGTTGTTATTAAACAAAATTGACATCTCAGAATTTATAGAGAAACTTTTTGTCAACAATGCATTGAATAGAAATCTTGATAAGAAATTTATTTACTCCTTTGAACATAAATAAAGTGAGTAAATATATACACACACACACAATTTAATTTGTTTTCTGAATTGAAATAACTCATAATAATTTGAAATTTATTAATTTTGTTGTATAAATTTGTTTTACAATTGATATGAAGATATATTAGCAATTTAAATTCCTACTGTTATTTTGACAGAATCAATTATCAAATTAGAAATAATGATATTTTATTAAATTGTAAAGAAAAAAATAGCAAACTTTATGACCATGTTTGTCATATCAAAGGTGATAGAATTGATAGATCTCTCTTTAAGATGTACTGATTCAACTGCTAAGGTTGTTTATTAATATATATGATCAGAAAAGCATAGCCAATTTTCTTCTTCTATTGTAACTTTGTAATTTCAATTTTTTTTAAGATATTGGCAGATAGGTACTCTTGTGACCATAATACTGACCATTTAAAATTGTTATGCTGTTAATACTTATTAATCTGAAAATAAAAGTAAAAATAAAAAATACAAAGTAAGAAAATGTGATTTTGACGGGAGTGAAATTACTTTAACGAATTGATGTCCTATTTTGAGATACATTGGAAAAATAAATATGGCATAATTTGGGTGGGAAATATAAAAAAAATTGATACATGTAAATTTTGATTGATCTTTGCTTGTAAAAGTACTACTCCATAAACAGGTCAAAGGCAAAGCTGTCATGACCTAATTTCCCTTTCAAGAAATTTTAAAAGAACTGCTTTTAAGCACTTTAAGGAAGTCTAACAAAAATGACAGATGAAATCTTTCTTGTTTATAATTTTTAAAAGAATACTTATATTTTTATAACAAGTAATTTTACAAGATAAGGGTTTTGTATAGGGGTCACATTGTTGACAGAAGGAAACTGCTTCTTCAGATACTGCAGAAAATCTCCTTCACTTCTGACTGAATTAATTGCACAATGATCATATCATAATTTTATGACATCTGAAGAGTACTTATTATTTTAACCAATAATAATTTACCTTAGATGATTTACTTCCACATTTGAGAAATTGATTCAAGATATTGTTCTGTATAAGTCTTGGATTGGGATGCTAAGTTAAATATAATGTTTCTTATATAGATCTTATATGTATAGAAAGAAGAAAAAAAAATGTTTTGTATTTTGGTTTTTTTTTTAATTTAATAATTGTCTAACTTCAAAAGTGTGTAGGCAAACAAGAAGGTTTTTATTTCTGACAGACTTTGAAAAAGTAGTTCTTCTCTATATAATTTTTTCTCCTGTACTAATTGACCAGGGTATTATTTCAATAAGTATCTATTACAATTATGAAATCATGTAATTTTACACTGAGAAAGTTTACAGAACAAAAGATGACAAACTTTGGGTGGATGTTAGTAAAACTAGTAATCAACTTTTCCCAGTATCTGATACTGATTCTTAGTATTGTTTTCCCAGATATATTCTTAGCTTATCAGTGAAACATCAAAAATACAGGTGTACTTTTTATAAAAAATTGACAGGTCTAAATAAAGAAAAAAGACCTCTGTGGTTTATACAGGACGAAAACCTGATAACAAAAATTTGTAAATCTCTTATTTTACAGGTCACTTAATCACAATTACTAAGTGGGAAATAGTTGAAGCTGAGAAAATTTTTGAATGGTTGTAAACTTTTTGAAAACATGTTTATCTTGATTTTTATCCCATCATGTTAATGTTAAGGCTCATTGGCTGGGATTTGGGATTCTCATTCTTCGTTCTATTGTTGTATCAACTATTTGTGTTTTCTATTCCGCAGTCCCTTTAACGATTTGGGCAGTGTTCAAAAAGTTGTAACCATATCTTCATCTTATGATTCAACTTATTTGATGAACTCTAGTGATATTAAAAGTCTGGTTACGTACGGTACAGTCAACTTTTGATTTTTAAGTTCATACTTTACGGTATTGGTCACTTTCAGTATTTGCTAGTATGTGTCATATACATCAAGTTAAATCACGTCTGGGAAAAACAATATAGTTAATATGTATTAATATCGCACATTTTCATCTAGTGATTATGGAAAAAACAGATGAGGATGAAGTTACAATCGTAGCGTAATCCAACCTCCTATTTCTTTTAGAATGAAAATCAGCTAAATGTACCAGATTTTTATCAGTACTATAAGTCTGATGGTCACCTTTGATTTAAATATTTTCAAGTACTTTCCAATAAATGTCAAGTTATTTCTTGCATTATGTCCAAAAAGTAGTGAAATCAAATCTGAGGTTACATTTTAATCAATTGATTTGTAATCGGTAAAGTACTCTTGGCCCATTGATGCAAATCACAATACATGTTTAATCGTAATCAAATCTTGCATAACACGGAAAGAAAAAGTAACGGGGTGGTAAATAATACAAGTCTTAGTCAACACCTGGTTTTGTAATGAGATGTTAGTATTATTAAATTTCATAGCCTAAAACAATGGTTGAATAAAAACCAATTTTGTAGTATTGATACTCATTAACCAAGTCCTTAATCTGGGTTAGATATTTTTGGGTTATGAAAATAAATATGGTTAATTTTTTCGTTGTGTGATATTTATCAAGCCTTTTAATTAATGTTTTAACATTTTTTGATGTCATCAGTAGTATATCAACTTTGTGAAGGTGCCAATATCCATGATAAAGAAATTCTAAATCAGATTTGTCCAATAAACTAATTAAAGACATTCTATGGGACTTGCATCTTAAGTCATGGTAGCCATTGTTGACATTTGTTTATATTTTGTGATTTTAGGTTGCTAGTTGAGGAAAGCTTAGGATGGTGTACAGAATATTCCATTGAAGTTGAAGATGCATGGTTGGTTTACCAGATACCCCTGGCAGAAAAATCATTAGAATTTATTTTTGTTTGCCTGTTGCCTTTATCAAAAATAAGCAGTAGTTGCTTTAGTTAATGACCCAAGGGAAAACTCCTTATTTCCAGAATTATCCCTATTAAACTTTGAAGAGAAATTTCGAAAAGTTCATAACAAGATATACTTGTTAGTTAATGAGAAATCTCTTCAAATGATCATCATGGGAACAATTCGGCAATTGACTGTCATGGCTCTGACTTTTTTGCACTTTCATAAATATAAACACCTTTCTCATTTAATGGGACCAGGTAAGCCCAATATTTAATCAACGACTCACAAGAGTTTTGTGAAAATTTGTAATCCACACTTGCCAACTGAAGCTGAAACATCAGATGCTGGTACAGTGCCAGTAAATAGTAAGTAAAACATTTCAATCATTTAATCTAACACTTGCATATATATTATAACTGAGTCATTGTAACATTGCCTTATATGGATAAGCATGTGAAATACAGCTAATGAATGATTAAGCCTTTAGAATTGTATAACTTAAAAAATATAAAAAAAATAAAAAAAGGCAGAAAGCGTATTGTGTCTGGTAGGACATATGACATTAAATTTGACTTCCTAAGTGCATTACACTATGATATGAATGGGATTGCAAAATTGGTGAACATGCAATGAAAATTAATAATTGTTGCTTATACATGTAGCTTTATAATCAAAACATGCACTCATTATAAGGTTGGTCTAGGAAATATTTCCTTTGCAAAAAAAAATTAAATTGGAAATATTAGTTTGTAGTTTGAAAAAGGATTGTTATGGAGACATGAAATTAGTCCAGAATCCAGATGTAAATGTCACAATACAAGATTCTTGCAGGGTGAACAACAAAATACTGTATAGATATTTTAAAAAAAATAACATTAACGATACCAAATTTTCTGCACCAGATGCACATTTCAATAATAAATCTCTCTTCAGTGATGCTTGAGGGCAAAATATTTGAAAATCCAAAACT